AAATGCTGCTCTGTGTTGTTCGGGGAGGGAGAAACCGTGGCCCTCGTGGAGGGTGACGACGAGAATACCGGGCTTGGGAGGGTTGACGACTGGTACTTGCGCCATGGCCTCAGAGGCAGCTGTAGTAGTGAGTTAGCACGAAGACGAAAGGAGTAAATGGGTGTGGGGATGGGGATATTAGAGGTTCGTGGACGGGAAGACGTACCGATAGTGTTTTCGTTCGTGGGAGTGGCCGAGCCTGCAATGTTGGCCTGGGCCTTTTCGCTGCTGTCGGTAATGGTGGATGTGGAAGGGGATCGAGAGAAGGTGTTGGCCAAGGGACCCAAATGGGTCTCCTTGAGCTTCTTCGTCAACTTCCACGACATTTTGGCAGGAAGAAGGTACGAAGGAGGGGGGGATTTAGTGCCGAATGCGCTGATGGCGAATCGGACTAGTGGTGATGGAAACGGGTGGTGAGGAGTCGAAGTCGGGGTGGTTGATGATGCGTGCGATCGAAGGTGAGGAGGGTACCGTCGAGGGAATGCGAGGTGGTGAGGTGAGGTTTAGGTGAGCCTGCGAGGTGAGGCGAAGCGAGTCGAGGCGGGGCGAGGAATAAAGATTGTTGTTTGGTGTTTTTGGGGGTGCGGTAGATAATGCACAGGTAGGTACGGTACAAAGAGTACGGTACGGTACGAGCGCGGGTACGGGTAGGAGAGGACTCGAAGAGAGAGAGTTTGTGTGTGTGAGTGAGAGAGAGGAGAGGTCGCTCTGGGGTCGTGATTTGTTGGTGGAGGTTCAAGGTTGGCGTACAAAGACGCTCGTTGGATCGTTGTGCTAGAGGAACCCCGCAAATTCCGCCCCCTCTCTTACTGCGTAGGCCTTTGGCTTCTTTCTTGGGGGTGGACGGACGGTACGTGTGTGGTGAGACAATCTGGCGTCGCCGGGCTGGGAGGTTTGGTTGGTTAGCTGGTTGTTGGTCGCTGCTGCTGCTGCTGCTGCTGCGGCGGCGCTGCTTGGTACCTTGAGCTGGGGAGGTTGCTGACAAAACGGGGTGATGGGGTGGCACAGTGGTGCAAGATTCCAAGTTCCAGGAGAAATCCAGTGGCACTGTGGGTGGATAGCGGGGTGAGGAGTGTGTCTGCAGGAAGAAGAAGAAGAAAACCCGCAGGGCAGGGGCCAAAGAGGGAAGAGAATACTGCGAGATGCGAGATGTGGAGGAGAGAAGAAGACGCAAAAGAAGAGAAAAAGAAGGGATTTCGAATAACTTACCTCAGGGTACCTGTAGTTTAGATGCTATTCTCAGCTGGGGAGATGATACGGGCTGAGCTGGGAGCTGAGCAGTACTGGGTAGGTAGGTACGAAGTTGGATACGGACTCAAGGAGTACCTTATTACGGAGTACCTTACGGAGTAGACGTTGCTGAGAAAGGGAGGATGGAGCCCAGGGCAGAAAAGGAGAGGGAGGCACGCCGCACAGGCGAATAAGGTAGGAGGTACCTTCCCGTGCTTCCTTACGGGTAGGAGCTGAGAAAAAGTAGGAACGGAGTACAAACTGGGTAGCTACTGCCACAATTGCGTCTTGATTCACTCTGTGATTTTTGGGATGGGATTCAGGGGCTTCTCTTCAAAGAAAGACAGTTTGCTCTAACTTCTACCAAAAGTAAGCAAAGATTAAGGTAGGTAGCGCACTCAAAATACGGAGTCTCGTCCAGATTTACAAGCAGTAGCCAAGTTGGGACAGGATTCAGGAGGCACAGGAGGGATGGGAATAGGAGGTGCATCAGGAGTCAAGACTCAGCTGGAGGACTCAGGACTCAGGAGGCGGTGCACTTTGGGCCCTGGGAACTTGGAAGGCAAGAACCTAGGGGTCAACTAGGGGGCACAATGATGAAATCCCTCGAGTCCACGCCTGGGCAAGCCTGTTCTGACACTCACACGGTACGGGGAAAGCGATACAAGTGCCCGGCAAAAAGGCGAGACATTTCGACAAAGGCACAGGGAGTCAGGGACACGCTCTTCACACAGTAAAAACCCACATGGCAGAGAGGGGCGGTGGACACGGGACACGGGGTACGAGACATGTACAGTGTCCTCTCGCTCAAGGACTGTGATTACCAAAGATTCGAGATGCTGACCAAAAGTTGCACAGCAACAACCCGTCCCGTACCTTAGCTCGTTACCCCCCAATTTGATCACCAAATTGCCTCTCTTTTCCATCAGCCAACCACGTCTCTCAAAACCCCGGCTGCCTCTTGCTGAACCTGGGCAGCTGGGCAACCAGGCTGATGGTTTGACGTCCAACCTCAATCAATTGTCAACTAAGCGAAAGTCAATCCAACTTGACATTTCGCCTGCATGGAAATTGGGCATCGGGCATCTGTATCATGGACGGCTAATCTGCATCAGCATGTACGCCAGCCTTGGGCTGCCTCTAAGATCATTGTCAATGGCCCGGGTAAGGTACTCGACATACCTTACCTTAGCCATGACTGTCCCAATGTTCTCTACGAAGCTCTGGCCTTTATCACAGATACAGAGGTTGCACGTAGCTGGATGATGGACAATATCTGCCAGGACATGGCGAATGAACTAACCGTATGGCATTCCGTCTTTGTGTGTTGTGCATATGGACATATTGTTCATGAAGATTATCCAACGTCCATACGAACTAATAACGTATCACACGGAGCTACCTGGTTCCCATGGACTTCATCTGTTCATCAGCGGATCCAGGGTTAAGCCGCTCGATAGTCCTTCAAATGCCCCTTGTGTACCTTATAATATGTCTGCGTAAAAGCACCTGCCATCTGCGTAGCCCCATCCCGCCAGAGCCCCAGACCAAGACTAACAATTGACAAGTTTGGAGAGTCCGTTGCAATAGGTGCACTAGAGGCGGGAGCCCTGCGTCGATCCGTTACAGCGCGACGCACGTGAGCCAGGGGATCCCATCCACGGTAGGGAGCTGCACTGTGTTTGCGGGCCATTGTCAAATCAAAGCTGACTTACAAGTTACACAGTAATTATCAGAACGGAATATTTCCTCAGGGGCAACTGGGCAGCTGAACTAAGGTACTCGAGGAAAGCTTTCTTTGCATTATCCGGGTGTTGAGAAGATCGTCTTTCGAAGCTCGCACTCAAAAATAGTTGACCATGATCGACTGCTCTTTGGCGTTGTGGACGTTTCGTCAGCCTGGCTCCTCCTCTTCTGCGCCGATCGACCCATGCTGCTGGAGAATTATGCCATATCAAGCTGGCGCATGATATGTCGAGTCGAGTCGCTCACAAGTACGGGGTTGACGGGGCACGATGCCGCCGGTGGGATGTGAAACTTACGAGTACTTTACGGATCACGTGCAAGTTCTATTGCACCCGACTCCTGAAACCGCGGAATGTGAAGATCACTAGATACCCACGTGACCTTGATCGAATTGCTTACATAATTCACACTTAGCCCCAAAATTGGCATGAACCCGCCAACAACCCTATGAGGCTCCATTCCTTCCAGAGTTGGGGTGGAAGCAGCGAAAACGGGGCCTAGCGGGTTGCCACTTTCGATGCTTCACCGAACATATCTGAGTTCGGTGAACTTCTTGCCTGTGATAGTTTGGAACCTCAAGTGAGCATATCACCACAACACAGCAAGTCGAGATCAAACGGCGATGCTTGCCGATCAACACATTGTCGCCAACTCGTATCGGGGTATTAGCATCCAATTAGCCAGCAAGGATTCAGCCCCTAGCCAGGCACGCCAGGCTGTCCTCTACGCCTCTGGCGCGAAGCACCGGCTACCTTGACATCGATCAGGCCATCATGCCATGTTGTCCCTAATCATTCCGCTGTCGTCGTATCAAAGGCCATTGGAGTCGGCTATGGCGAAGATCTGCAGATATTTCAACTCAGTGCCTACGACAAGTGTCATTCCACCCGATCTATGCAGTACATAGAAAAGCACAACACACAATGTCAACGGCAACATCAAAGGATAATTCTGTCCCCTCCGACGTCGCAGTGGCAGAAGCTTCGGCCTCAAAAAGTACCGCTGTCGAACATCCAAAGGCTGATGCAGATGCCGTTGCAAAGGCCGAAGACCGTATAGTCCCATCTGCAATCCAGCCACTCCAATTGAATGACGAACCCTCTGGTGCTGCTCCTCACACAGAACCGGAGTCGACACCTCCCGTATACATCATAGGATGGAGGCTCTACGCCATCATATCCGGGTACGCAACGCTGGTTCCGTTTCGTCAGCCGACATGGCTAATAAGGGACCTCCAGATTGTGCATGTCGCTCTTCTTGTCCACGCTTGAGACCACCATCGTCAGCACGTCACTTGTCTCCATTACCAACGCTTTACACGGGTTTGAGCAGCGGGACTGGATCGTCACCTCGTACCTGCTCACTTACACTGGTAATGCTGCACCTCAAGCTTCCTTCTTCTCCATTCATCTTTTTTTGCCGTTGTCTGACACCGACCAGGATTTCTCATCATATTCGCCAAGTTCAGTGACGTTCTGGGCAGAAAGTTCGTCGTCCTCCTGTCTTTGGCCATCTTCACGATATTTTCCATCGTGTGTGGTGTAATCACGTCCATGGTGCAGCTGTAAGAGAGCCCGAGCCTTTCGTGGTCTGGTGTCGAAACTGATTTGGGAGGGCAGTATCATCTTCCGTGCCTTCCAGGGAGTCGGAGCGTCTGGCATATATGCCATGGTCAACGTGATCAACCCTGAACTGGTTCCGTCCGACAAATGGGGCAATATTGTCGCCGGCACCTCGCTTGTTCTCGTCTTCAGCTCCGTGTTAGGCCCAGTCCTAGGAGGCGTGATCAACAACCACTCAAGTTGGCGATGGGTCTTCTTACTCAAGTGTGTTTTCCCTCCCTCTTCCCCTCAATTGGACATATTGTAGGACTTACACTTATCGTCCATGGTAGTGCGCCGACGGGCGCTTTTGCAACCGCGCTCCTCGCGTTCCTTTTGCCGTCCAATTTTCCGCACCAGGGCCGCGGGGTAAATCAGCCAAGCATGCGGGACAAATTCAGCGGAGCCGCAATCGCCAGGCTAGACTTTGTAGGAGCCGCCGTGCTCCTCGCAGCATCGATCCTTCTCGTCTTTGGCTTCGAGGAGGCCGGCTCAAGATATCCGTGGAACAGCCCCATCGTCATTTCGACGATTGTTTGCGGAGGCAGTCTCTTTTTGGCCTTCATTGCATGTGAGTACGTGGTTGGCAAGCCAAAGTATCCACAAGAGCCCGTATTCCCTCTGCGATTGTTGAAGGATCGACACTTTGTTGGCCTGTTTCTGTGAGTCTTCTCCAACTTTGCTGCAGCGCCGAGGCGTAGCTCACCAGTCGTGTCAGAACCGCCTTCTTCACCGGCCTGCCGTTCATGACCGCCTTAATCAACCTCCCGCAGCGCTTCCAGGCCGTCCACGGATTGACATCCTTCGCTGCGGGCGTCCACACGCTACCTCTCCTCCTCAGCTCCCCACTTGCCGCCGCAGTGTCTGGCCCGTTGACCACCAAGATGGACGTGCCGCCTTTCTATCTGTTGCTATTTGGGACGTGCATGCAGATTCTGGGCGTGGGTCTCGCTAGCTCCGTAACTCCCGATAGATTAAGAGACTTGCTGGGCATCGAAGCGATCATGGGCTTTGGCTTTGGTATGACACTGGTGACGGTTCTCATCTATGTCCCTTTCCTGGTTGACCGGCGGGGCCTTGGTAAGCATCACCTTGCAGCTGTCATGCATTTTCCTGACGAATAAACACAGCCGTTTCAATGGGAGCCGTAACACAGTTTCGGACATTGGGGGGCACCATTGGCTTGGCCGTGGGGTGAGTGTCTCTTCTCCATCAAACATGTCGTCTCACATTGTTGCAAGTTGCTGATTCGTCCACCTATGCAGGGCGACCATTCTCAACAACCACCTCGCATCCAGTCTCCCAAACCACCTCACCCCCTCAGAGATGCAATCCATTTCCGATTCGGTTCAGTTCATGGACAGCCTGCCAGCCCCCACACGGACTGCCGTTCGATCCGTGTTCAGCGAGGGTTACAACAAACAGCTCCGTACCATGCTCTACTTTAGCGTCGCCGTTCTCGTCTCCCTGACATTGATGTGGGATCGAAACCTTAAACGGGCCCGTGACATGAAGGGGTATTGAAATGACTCCGACGTTGGAACATCTCAATGCCTATACACCATTGGGATATGAACATCGGCCAAGCTTTGGGACGGACCTACCCTTGGGATTGGAAGGTTCAGACGCCGTGAACACCTCTTGGAGCTACACGCAAAACTTGGAGAAGCAATAGTCCAGCGGGGGAAGCTGATGCTTGATAGGAAGACCCAATTGGGGGCGGCGATGTACGCAGGAGAGGTCGACGGATGCCCGGGGAACCGATGTAACGTGGGCCGGATCATCGAAACGCGCAGTAGGAAGTACCACCAGAGTGCATGTAGACTGTAGTCTCAAGCACCGCCGGGAACATCTTCCGAGCGGCATTCTCCAAGTCTCCACAACGGATAACCTCGAGGGAGAACGACAACACCAACTTTGCTCTCCTGCATGCGCCTGGCATCCACCATCCACCGTCCTGCAGCAACGCATGGTTGGTGGCCCTTGAGAGGAAACGGCGACACGCTGCAGAGGCGACTTGCTGCCCTGCAACACTTTTTGGCCGCCCGCATTTATTTTGATTGCTTCAGACTGTCTGACATGCAAACAATGTCCCCTAGAACGTTGGAGAGGGGTGGAGAAACCGGCTGGGCAGAGCTGCAAAAGCCTCCAATCGTGAGTCTCGATCTAGCCAAGAGAAGGCACAGCAAGCTTAGACTTCAGGTCTGCGACGATAATTCGGGGATATTTCGGTGAGTGAGCTTGACGTCAAGATCTCCTGACTCGTTTTTGCTATTCCTGAAGCTGCCTTTCTCCTCATCTGGGAAGCCTGGGTGTAGGGACTTGGCCTGCATCTTGAGGTTTTGGAGGAATATGACCAACGGGCTAGACTTTCCCCCCATCTCACCCCCAGACTTTGAATTGCGGGGTGCAGAAACGCGGGGGGCGCGGCAGTCGACCCTTGGTCCGGATAATGACCAGTCCAAAGCCAGGACCACTTGAACCCGGGAATATCGGGTCCTGTTGTGTGTCCGATGCTACTATGCGGGGGACTAGGAGTGAGCTCCGGCCCCAAGCTATCCTTACCATGTTTGCTTGGAGCTCTCTCAAAGAGTGAGACAAAACTGGAAGCTCCCAAAATGGGATATACTGCACTGATTCGGGGTCCAAGGTTTGGAGTGCGGCTCGGCTTGTAAGGGAGACCAGGCATTGGGCTTCCTCAGACTCTCTTGGCAAGTCGGGCTTGCACTATTCCGCATATTCCGCCAATTGCCTGCTCCTGTGGCGGCCGCGTTGGGCGAGAGAGAGACTATCATCGGGCATGCGGATGTCTGGGTGCTCACTTTCATTGTGGAGGGAACATCGGCAGTGAGTTCTCCTCCACCATTGATCTACCCAACAACTGGTAACGGCGTATCAATGGCACCGCATGAAGCTGATGGTCCTGCGCCTTTGGTGTCGGTGAGTGCGGGGAAAGCTGGGAGGGCATGTTGATCGGAGAGCATAGCCATGCTGCCATGCATTGGCTTTGGGTGATACACTTTCACAGACGCGCGTCGGTGATAGGCCGCGAGCCAACAAACGACACCGGATGACACGGACTCTGCATGCTTTGGACCAAATCTCATCGCGAGGGCCACGGATATCCTGGAGGGATAGTCCATGGCTTCCCCTCATCCTCGCCCTCCCTGCCGGATCTTTGGTTTGAGATCCAAGAGGGTCTGGAGTAAAGTCGGGGTCGAGAACCATCCTACCAGGACGACGAGGGGTAGCAGCGAGCAAGAAGAAGCACAGATGACTTATGCATTGCTTCCTCCCATCTCTTCATATCTATTTAACGACCGCCCCGACGGGTCGGAATTCATCTAGAACATCCTTTAATCATTCGAACGCATTAGCAGTGTTGCAGTTGACCTGGCACGGTGTTCACGCCGCTTTGACAACTGCTGCTCGACCTCCTCTACTAAACCAAGTGCCTCAAAACTTCTTTTGATATCCCACTGGAAACATGAGCGGAGCTATTCCGGACGAGTTTGACATTATTGTCTGTGGTGGTGGTAGCTGTGGTTGCGTCGTTGCTGGACGGTTTGTCTCATCTGTTCAGGCTGACAGTCTGTCAGTGGTGTTCCCAGAGCAACACTAACATCCAATACAGGCTTGCCAACTTGGACCACAATCTCAAGGTGCTTCTCATTGAGAATGGCGAGAGCAATCTCAATAACCCATGGGTGTTCCGCCCGGGCATTTACCCACGGAACATGAAGCTGGACTCAAAGACGGCCACGTTCTACGAGTCAAGGCCGTCCAAGCATCTCTCCGGACGCTCGGCCATCGTGCCTTGCGCCAACATTCTCGGCGGAGGTTCTTCGATCAACTTCATGGTCAGTATGATACCATTGCCGAAGACAGAACGCCCACTGACTTATGAGACAGATGTACACCCGTGCATCGGCCTCCGACTACGATGACTTCCAGGCAAAGGGATGGTCTACCAAGGAGCTCCTGCCTTTGATGAAGAAGCACGAGACATATCAGCGAGCTTCCCACAACAGGTAAGCTGCTATAATGAGCAATTGAACGGCAATCGAAACCTTGACTGACATTGCCATGTGCTAGGGACACTCACGGATTCGACGGGCCTATTAAGGTTTCCTTCGGCAACTAGTAAGTTCAGCTCCCCGCAGAGTCGAACCGTAATGGAAGAATCCGAAACTAACCGTCGTTACACAGCACTTACCCCATCAAGGACGATTTCCTTCGTGCTGCTTCGTCCCAGGGTATCCCTGTCGTTGACGACCTCCAGGATCTGTCAACTGGTCACGGAGCTGAGCACTGGCTGAAATGGATCAACCGAGACGTGAGCTTATTCTTTGCCCTTAAAAATATTGAGGAATTGATGTTCTAATCACTGACAATGACAATCAGACTGGCCGCCGCAGCGACAGCGCACACGCTTACATCCACGCAACTCGGGCCAAGCACTCCAACCTGTACCTTGCTTGCAACACCAAGGTTGACAAGGTCATTATTGAGAACGGCCGGGCTGTTGGTGTTCACACCATGTGAGTGATACTGCCAATTACTATTACCTGCTCCAAATCTGATTATGAATGACAGCCCGAGCAAGCCACTCCGCCCCAACGAGCTCAAGGGACGCACGTTCAGAGCTCGCAAGCAGATTGTCATTTCTGGCGGCACTCTTTCTTCGCCTCTCATTCTCCAGCGCTCTGGTGTTGGTGACCCCGAGAAGCTTCGCCGCGCTGGCGTAGAGCCCATTGTCGACCTTCCAGGCGTTGGTCTCAACTTCCAGGACCACTATCTCACGTTTTCGACCTACCGCGCGAAGCCAGGCACCGAGAGCTTCGACGACTTTGTCCGCGGAGACCCCGAGACCCAGAAGCGTAAGCTATCACACCCTAAACGCTAGATACTTGCTAGACTAACATGACTCTTAGGCGTCTTTGATGAGTGGAACATCAAGGGCACCGGTCCCCTTGCCACCAATGGCATTGAAGCAGGCGTCAAGATTCGCCCTACTCCCGAGGAACTCGCCGAGTTTGAGAAATGGCCCACTCCACACTTCAAGGACGGCTGGAAGTCGTACTTTGAGAACAAGCCCGACAAGCCAGTCATGCACTACTCCGTTATTGCTGGCTGGTTCGGCGACCACATGGTCATGCCCCCCGGAAACTTCTTCACCATGTTCCATTTCCTCGAGTATCCCTTCTCTCGTGGATCCACCCACATCAAGTCGCCCAACCCCTACGACGCGCCCGATTTTGACGCCGGCTTCATGAACGACGAGCGAGACATGGTCCCCATGGTCTGGGGTTACATCAAGTCTCGCGAGACGGCCCGCCGTATGGACGCCTACGCCGGAGAGGTGGCTAACATGCACCCCTTTTTCTCGTATGACTCGGAGGCGCGCGCAAGGGACATGGACCTCGAGACCACCAACAAGTATGCCCTGCCCGGTAACCTGAGTGCGGGCATCCAGCACGGTAGCTGGACTCAGCCGCTTAATGAGGCGGAGAGCAAGGCCGACAAGATCAAGACCCTGTCGGCTCATCGTGTTGATGCTCGTGATGAGCTCAAGTACTCTGATGAGGATATCAAGGCTGTTGAGGAGTGGGTTAAGCGTCACGTCGAGACCACCTGGCACAGTCTCGGAGTAAGTCTTCAAGCCTTCCAAGATTCATGAATATCTACTTATCATTTAGACCTGCTCCATGGCTCCCAAAGAGGGCAACAGCATCGTTAAGCACGGTGTCTTGGATGAGCGCCTGAACGTCCACGGTGTCAAGGGCCTCAAGGTTGCTGATCTTTCCATCTGCCCCGACAACGTCGGTTGCAACACGTACGTCTTTGGATCCCCTACTTTTATTGGAGATTCACCAAAGCTAATGATCCCCTCTAGGTATTCCACCGCTCTTCTCATCGGCGAGAAGGCCGCCATGCTCGTCGCCGAGGACTTGGGATACTCTGGTGAGGCTCTCGAGATGAAGGTGCCCACATATCACGCGCCCGGCGAGTTTGTTCTTCAACATCGTCTTTAATTGGATGGTACTGCGTTTGTTTGCCCCTACCTCCACAAAATTGGATGTATGTACGAGACCACAATACCTTGCGACTCGTATTGCTTTGTGTTGTTTGTAGTTTGTCGATAGCCAATTTCAATACTGTCAAATATGCTTCGATGTGCGCAGTGATGTACCAAGAACCAAGGTTCTTTTTTTCGCTGCATGTGGTTGTTACAAGGTTTGATAGCGTGTCGTGTACTTCGGTCGGATGTCGGCAATGATTTGTATTATTTCGGGAGTTTTTGAGACAAATATATCTTAGCTCGCATGGCATCGGTGGAACGGCTGTCTGCACCTACTACTACAAAGGTAGATTTAATCTGTCATCTCATGTTTAGTGTAAGTCGATACACGCTGGCGAGGACCGGCACGGACGGCCGGATCAGTGGAAACTATTGCGTAGTTTGGATGATGAGCTACCAGTTACGTCATGACCGGGCCTGTTCTGATCTCATCTTCACGGTATTTACTGCATACGACTCAACTTTAAAGGAGTAGGAAACATGCAATATTGAAGACATCTGCCAAGGAATTACTTTGCACATTTAAGTTGATTTGCAAGAAGCTTGTTCCTATCTTCCAGTATCAAGCTCAACATCAGACGACACAATGTCAGACCCCAACTCTCCCCACATCAAATCCCGCGATACTCCATCTTGGGGCTTGTATCAGCGGGAGAACTTTTGGAAACTAAATGAAGGCGAAGTTCCCCAGTTCAACACTCGTGAGTCCCCGCGGCAGAGACGCAATGCTCAGCTTGGATCGGAACTGATTAGGACCAGACCCCGACAAACTTGAGGAGCTTGCCAAGCAGAAGTTGACTCAAAATGGATGGTATGAGCTCACCAAGCAAACTCAATTCTCATTTTCTAATACTGATACAGGTACTATGCATCTTCGAATGCGGGCCTTTCACATACACATCTCGCAAACCGGCAGGCTTTTTTTCGGCACAAAATCGTTCCTCGTCAATTAGTCGACACCAACGAGCGCTCCACCCGAACCACCATCTTCGGCCACGAGGTTTCTGCCCCCTTCGGAATTGCTCCGATTGGCATCAATAAGATTTACCACCCGCAAGGCGAGCTGCCCGTGGCCAAAGTGGCCGGAGAGCTGGGCATCCCTTACAGTCTCTCAACAGCCGGATCGTGCCCGATTGAGGACGTCGCTCGAGCCAATGATGCTGGGCGCGCTTCGGCCATCGAAACTCAGTCCGCAGACAAGTCCAAGATCCCAGAGGGTCCGCGCTTCTTCCAGCTTTACATGCCCCACGACGACGAGCTAACCCTCTCTTTGTTGACGAGGGCTCATGAGTCTGGCTTCACGGCCTGCATCCTCACGACAGATACATGGCAGCTGGGATGGCGGCACGACGACATTGCAACGTCAAATTATGCGTTCTACCGCGGCATCGGTGCTGATCTAGGCCTCACCGATCCCGTGTTCCAGAAACGCCTCGCGGCCCAGGGAATTGATCCTCAACAAGAACCGGAGAAGGCCGCCGCAATGTGGATCGATAACGTCTGGCACGGCCGCGCGTGGTCCTGGGATAAGGCAGTGTGGGCAAGGGAGCAGTGGCAGAAGATTAGCGGTGGGAAACCGTTCTTGATCAAGGGCATCCAGAGGGTGGATGACGCGGAAAAGGCGGCGGATCTAGGATTTGAGGGTATCGTGGTGAGTAACCACGCCGGAAGGCAAGTTGATGGGGCGGTTGCGAGCTTGGATGCGCTGGAAAACATTGCAGAGAGGGTTGGGGACAGGATTGTTGTCACGTTTGATAGTGGTGTCAGGGGTGCGGCGGACGTGGTGAAGGCGCTCGCGCTTGGTGCCAAGTTTGTCTTCATTGGGAGGTTATGGATTTGGGGCTTGAGCATAATGGGAGAGCAAGGAGTGAGGCATGTGCTGAGGGGACTATTGGCGGATTTAGATATCTTGATGAATGTGGCGGGGATCCAAAAGGTGGCGGATATTGGCAAGGATTTGCTAGAGTCTTTGCCTAAGTCTTATGGACTGATCTCGGAGAAGAGCAAATTGTAAACCATATATGGATATAGCTCCTAGGAACACGAGTAGTAAATGCGTGCGGTGTACGGGCTGGCTGGAGACTCAATCATGTTCAGTAAGACGAAGGCGCAGGCTAAGCCAAAATCATTCAGTGAAGTTTGTGTGCTAGAGAAGTTTATGTACATGGAAGGGAGAAGAAAGCCGTGATTCACAGATTTGGGTTCTCAAGGGCAGTAGCAAGTGTCATCGAAGCAGTCGTATGCGTTGCCGCACTGTAGAAAAGAGCATTAGTACAGAATCAATAATAGTTGCATTCTAAGACGAGAGCTGCCTTACCTGAGTGATGCACTTGTTGACCTTTGCAAGGCTACAAGACTCCCGAGGAACGGGGTTCGGGGCAGCAACGGCAGCCGAAACGGCGGCGAGAAGAACGAAGATGCTCAACTGCATGGTGAATGAAAGGGCAAGACGGGGTTGAAATTGGTGAGTTTGGTTGATGATGTGTGATTCAGATGATCGTCGATGATGACTCCCAAAGGCACGAGACAGACTTCAATGTCAGTTGCTGGCTCAAGGGCTCCTTCTTATATTTGAAACCTGCCTTTTAAATCGTCTCCAGAAATTAAAATCATAGCCCGAGCTCTACAAACCTATCCATCTTTCAGTCTCGTGCGCCTCTGAACCACGTACACGCTGTCATGGAGACACTCACCATGTGGAGCTGAAAGATTCGCATGCGTATGAGTGCGCTAATGATTGGCGGATAAAGAGGTGGTTTGCGCCAGCCGCTTCTGGGCAGAAGATCGTCCGGTAAAGTCTACGGAACTTTAAGGACTTGCCAGAAAAAGTGTCGTATTCTCTAGTTTACCTGCATCCTCTTCTCTACTACAATCCCAGAAACGGAAAGGAAACGTTGGAATCCTCTTCCTTCAATTTACAGGCCCAAATTTCGATTTCACTCAACCGGCACGACATCTGATGAGGGACTAGGTGTTCTCAGCGATGTAACCACCACAGATCCCGTCAGCTTCACCTCCTCCTCACCATATCCTAAACGCTTCTGATCGCTCGATGTTTGGTTCCAGACTGGCGTTGTCGGCGTTCTTGAGAACACCATTGGCCTCGGGACTGACAGTGTAGGCTCACTTGAGCTATCTCCATCTACACTGCTTGTCCTACTTGTTTGCATGTATCCAATTGCGAGTAGGTATCGCAAGCTCTTCCTGAGAGACAACTTTACCGAGACCTGATGGTTCAGCTGGTCGTCAAGCGTCATTGTCCCTGGGGGCTGACCGAGTTTGCCGCCGGTGTCTTCAACAAAATGAAGAACCGGCCACAACCTGTGGCTTGGCCCTTTTGCGTTAACCTCTTCGTGCAAGCTCCTCAACCACCGTTTGGAGTCCGTCGGCTCCATTACGTGGCCCGTTTCCTGTTTGACGATATCCCAGTATTCTCCCATAGTGAGACCGTTCAAGACCTTCTTAACAACATGATAATTTCCATTGTTTTGAGGGTTAAAACAGCTGTCAAGAACTGTGTTGGCTACGAGATCAACGCCTGCAGCAGCGAGCCAGAGGTCGCGTTCGCTATCATTGAACATCCCAATGTCCAATGCACTGGCTGTCAGCCGCCAAAGGAAATCGTCCGTGTTGGAGATGCCGTCGGAGGAGCTGCCCATGATCAAGCCAGGTTTAACTATCGTGGCCAAACAGCCGAAGCCAGCATTGATCAGTCGTTCAGCGTATCGTGCGACCAAGATCTCGGCGACAAATTTGGTCTGACTGTAGGCCGGATACGACTTCAGCTCCGTAGCGATTTCTCCGACATCGTCGGGAGAAGTGGACAAGTGACCGCCTGATACGTAAGTTAGGCAAACTGGACGAGATGCTATTGCTTTTGTCAAAGCTGTCAGAATGTTGACCGTCGAAAGAATATTGGCTGGTGTCAGCGCCCGAAAGTCGGCCATCCAGTTGACAACTGCCCCATTGTGGACGACCGCATCAATCAAGTCACCACTGACGCTTGTGCCATCGAGTCGGGACCATAGCGCGTCTGAAAGACCGAGATGTGGGAGAGACAAATCGCCATGCCAGACTTCGATGCGATTGACATACTCTTCTTCCCACCAACCGCTGCCACGAGCAAGAGACAAGAGTCGCTCGGTAGCGTGGGCTGAGTCTTGACCTCTGACCAACACCACGGCCTTTTGAGTCTGCGGCCGTTGCAAGATCTGAGCCAGCAGTTGGTTCCCGAGAAATCCGGTGGCTCCTGTTAAGAGGATGATTTTGGGGGTTTGCATAGTCCTAATCTCTGCATGTGATCTTAGCAACGGCGAGGCTGCGAGTGATTGATCGTGAACTTCAATATCATGCATCAAGTCAATGATGTTGTCATCATGCGACCCTTGCTGATCTTCAAGGACCAATTGAGCAATGTCCCTGATGGTCGCCGCGCTATTCATGTACTTTTGAATCGGGATGCTGACATTGTAGGTTTTCCGAACGAATGTTGACAGTGAAATGACCTGGATAGAGTCCATCCCAGCGTAGTAGGGGTTGAAGTTATGGCCACGCAAAGTTTCTGCTCTCCGAGAATCCCCAACCGATAGAAGCTCGGCAAGCTTGTTGCTGATACTCAGAGCAATGTGCTCGCTAGCCACTAGCATGTCGGTGTCTTCCTCCACAATGCCGCGTTCTGAATTCTCTGCTATGCACAAAGTCGAAGCATATTCATTCAATGTGCGCCGATCAAGCTTCCCAGTCCTTGTGAAAGGAATGACCTCAACTGGGATCAAGTGCGAGGGAACCATGTAGGCAGGAAGCACGGAAGCCAGCTGCTGCGTCAAGCGACCAGAAATCCCCTCGATGATGTCTCTCTTCTCCGCAAAGCCGAACCCATGATTTTCCAGCTGAATGAAGGCAACGAGCGACTTGTTTGAAGACCCAGAGAGGACGAGGACGTCAACAGCTACAATGGAGCCTGGCGGTAACAGCTGTGTGAGTTGATGTTCCACCTCTCCAGGCTCAACTCTTTGTCCACGCAGTTTTAGTTGTGCGTCTTTCCGTCCAAAATACGATATTGAGCCATCTGAATTCAGCACTCCAAGATCCCCTGTCTTGTACATCCTTCTGGCAGCAATGCCAGTCTCGAACTGGGTGGTCCAAGCCGGATTCGTGATGAATGACTTGGCTGTCTTGTCTGGATCGCCGAGATATCCACGAGCAATACTCGGCCCTTCGATCAAAAGCTCACCGACAGTGCCGATTGGCGTCAGGATGTCATGATTGCCTGGATCGACGATCCAGGTGAGAGTGTTGGCTCCATGACCAATAGAATCCGTCTTGAACCTGCCACTACTGATATCAGCGGTGGTACAGACACTGCCTTCGCAAGGTCCGTAAGCATTGATGAGCTGCACAATCCCAGACCACGTCTCGATGCAATCCATGGTTATTGCCTCTCCACCCATGCAAATAGTCTTGATGCTGGGGAGATCTTTCGGCTCGAGAGTTCGTGCGAAGGACGGAGTGAAGAAGGCCCAATTCGCTTGAGACCTCGAGATAAACCCGGCAAGGTCGTTCATCCTCTCTTCATCAGACGGCACACATATGCAAGCTCCAAGAACGAATGAGTTGACAATCTCAATGATGCTGACGTCAAAGACATGAGCAGAGAATTGTAGGATCCTTGAGCTTTTGGACATGTGCATTCCGCTAGAATGAGCTTTGGCCGCTGAACACAAGGTCTTGTGTTCTTGAATGACACCCTTGGGCTGTCCGGTGCTGCCAGATGTAAAGATGACAGTTGCGGCATTGCATGGTTGAACCTCGTGATTGGAAAAGGTGGTAACTCCAAATTCCTCAACCTCGGCAAAGAAGTTCGAGTCAACAGCTACAGTGTGAACATCCAGTTTAGAGAATGCATATGCATTGCTACCAGAAGCAACAACCACGTTTGCCATCGTGTTATGGACAATGAACGCTTTGCGGTCTTGTGGATGCGCAGGGTCAAGAGGGACCATCGCGCCTCCAGCTTTGAGAATGGCAAGCATCGAAACGATGGTATACATCGACTTTTCGAAGCAATAGGGTACCATCTTTTCCGGCCCAACACCCAGTTCCATCAAGACTCGAGCAAGCTGAGATGCCATTGTGTCGAGTTGGGAGTAGGTCAGAGAGCCATCCCATGCGAAAACGGCTTGAGCGTCAGGTTGGGTGAGCACGTGTTCTTCGAAGACTGCGTGAACGCAAGTATCGACCGTTTGAGGCGTAAGACTGTTCCACTCCCCGATATCGAACAGATCCTGTGCAATGGGATTGCGGAAGAAATCATCCAGGACTTGGTATTCGGAAGATGCCAGGAAGTCAAGAGCGCTTTCGAAGTAATCGACAAGGCGTTCCATCTCGCCAACTTCGACAGACTGAGGATCGTAGTTCACATTCAGAAAGACCTCATTTTGTCCAAGGTTGCACTCAAACATGATAGCGTGAGATCTGAACTTGTCAAGGTCTTGAGGCCTATGATAGCCGATGAATGGACCGTTCGTCATTGCCATGTCGACCTCTGGCTGTACGATCATCATTGTTTGAAAGTCGCAGGCTGACCGGCATGATGAACTGATGCGAGCAATGTTCTGTATTCCCATTTGCTCGAAAGGAATCATGTTTACCGTGCTCATCTGTATGCTGTTAAGCAAGTCTCGGACCGTTGATGTGCCATTGCATCGTATCCTCAATGGAACAGTTGCGATGATTGGCCCGAGGATGGACTCGATATTGTCAAAAGGGGCATTCCTCCCAGACGATGTAACACCAAAGACGACATCGTCAGAATTGCTAAAGCGGCTGATGACCAATGCCCAAGCTGCTCGCAGCATAGTAGTGGCAGTGGCATCCGTGCTTGATGTTGGCACAGGGACTTTTCGAAAAGAAAAAGCTGGCCCTTGATGATCCAGGGCACCATATACTGCAGATGATTCCTTTGGGAACGACGCGAACTCTCCTCCCTCGAAGACTGAGCTCCAATACCTCGATGCAGATTCCATATGCATGTCCTTGAAGTGCTTTATAAACGAGGCAAAGGAAACTTCAGTTGGCTTCAGAGCACCACGGAACGCATCCCGTACTGACTGAAGGGTAAGACCAACAGCCTGGCCATCAGTCACAGCGTGGTGCACTGTCCATACCATGTGAGAAGCGTCCCCCTTTGCGGTATAGACAATGCCGAACCGATTGAGCGGCACTCCAAAGGTTGAGGGTGCGTTCAAGTCCATCTCGAGATACTCTTCGAGATTGAAACTTTCGTTCCAAGTCAAATTCTCGTGGACTATGACTTGAAGCATACCCGAAGAAATAGTGTCAACCAATCGAACGCGGAGCATCCCATGAGCCTCGGCGACAGTCTCCCAAGCCATCTTCAACCTTGCAATGTCGATATTGACGGCGATGTCAAGAACGTATTGTACCAAGTAAGAGTTAGAACTTGAAGAAGATAGTGCCATGAGACCTTCCTGTAAAGGGGTACAAGGAAACACATCTTCGATGTCTTCCGTGCTAATGGCACATTCGCAGGAAATCTCATCGAGTACTTCCTCAAAGCCTTCCTTGTTGATTAACTCGAACGGCCGTACCTCGACTGTAGTCTTCTTGAACTCAGTCGCAAGTAGACAAAGATCCTGCAAAGAGGGACTCTTGAAAATCTGAGCGACACTCAGTTGCAACCCTTTTCTGCGAGCAGCAGTTACTAGACTGATAGCCGCAAGCGAGTCTCCGCCAAGACGGAAGAAACTGCTAGTAGCCACGATCGCGGCAGGCTGAATTCCAAGTACCTCAGCCCAGAGGTCTCGCATGAGACAGAGCTGTGGCGTCTCTTCGACCTGCATGATAGCGTCGGTTTGGGCGAAGAGGTAGAATTGCTCGGCTGTCAAGGATGCGGCTTCACGTCGGAGTCTCTTGACATCCGCTTTCCCATTTGGGCTCAACGGGAAGTCCAAAAGAGGGATGTAGATTGATGGACGCATCCATGATGGAAGCTTTTGAGATATTTCCTCTTCGATCTTGGGGATCGCTTCTAGAAGAGGTAGGTGCCGCCGAGTCATGATATAGTTTGACGCAGTGTCTGGCCTTTGGTCAAATTCTCTCTGCAGGCAAACAAATGCGACGAGAATTTTAGACTGTGCCTTCGTGTCTTGAGCAGATCGATTAAGAACATCTACGACGATGTCCGGGGTGCGAAATGCAGCTCGGAGGTGGTACTCAACCTCTGAAGCCTCCAGACGTTGCCCTGATATTTTAAGTTGAGTGTCCTTGCGTCCTTCGAAATGAATCACACCATTCTCGTCGAAGCGGCAAAGATCTCCGGTCTTGTACAGTCTGGAGCGGCGACCGTGTTTCGCAAGCCAAGGCGGATCTCGAACGAAAGCTTGATTTGGACCTTCGTTGTCCGCAAAGTTCAAGTAGCCTCTTGCAAGTTGAGGGCTTTCTAGGAGCAGCTCACCGACTGCCCCAAGAGGTGACAAACGGTTAGGATCTTCAGGGTCGGTAATCCAACAGAGTGTACCAACCCCGCGTCCGATCGCTCCTGCCTTAGAGGAGAGTGACAATGGGTGCATGGTGGAAAATACAGTATTTTCGGTAGGGCCATACCCATTAATAAGGTTGCGACTGACTGCCCATGCCTCGATGATATCTTGGCCTAGGGGTTCGCCGCCGACGACGACAGTCGTTAAGCCCGGAACCTCAAAAGGCTCCAGCAGACGAAGCACTGAGGGCGTGAAGAACGCCCAGTTTACTCTCTTCTCCTGAATGACAGCTGTGATGTTGTCCAGTCGCTCGTCCGTGGATGGAATGACTACACATCCCCCGAAGACAAGTGTAGTCAAGATTTCCGCAATCGATGCATCGAAAGTGTGGCGAGCATATTGGAGAGTCCTAGTGTTGTGATTGAAACCAGTTGCTTGCCCGTGAGCCACGACACTTGCAGCGCAAGCAGAGTGGTCAATCATCACGCCTTTGGGCTCTCCTGTGCTTCCTGAGGTGAACATGACGTACGCAAGGTTCCATGGCAAGGCGGTCGAGGTGATTTGAGAGACGGATGAAGGGCTCATTTGGAACCAAGTGTTACCTAAGCCAAGTACATTCTGGGAAAAGCGCAGTAGGTGCTGCGTATAGATTTCGGAACACAAAACAACTTTGGCCTGGATCTTTTCCAAAATGGAAGAGGTTCGATTGTCGGGCTGAGAGGGGTCCAAGGGAACAAAAGCACCGCCGGCTTTGAGAACTGCTACAGTAGCTACAATGTTCCATATGCTCTTGTCAAAGAATAGCGCAACGGTGGATTCAGGGCCGACGCCACGCTGTCGAAGCTCTTGGGCAACTCTGGAAGAAGCCGCATGTAGCTCAGCGTAAGACAATTGACCGTCCCATGCATCTACAGCTGGGCTGAGGGGAGAATTCTGGATGTGCTTGTCGATCATCTTGTCCACACTGATATCGACATGGTCCGAGGAGCGCTCATTCCAGTCAAGGCACTGTTGGTAATCGCGGTCATTAATGAGCTCAATATCTGAAACTCTGGAGTAAGGGCTTGAGACAATGTTCTCCAGCACCTGCCGGAAGGTGGATAGGATGCATCTAGCTTGCCAGTCTGACAGACAGGACACGGTGTATTCGCATTTCAATAACATGCCTCGGGTGAAGTGGTCCCAATTGGCAGTAAAGAGCAATTCTACCTGAATAAGTTTAGTAGAAAAACATAAGTGGGTAATGTGCAGGCAGCAGCTCACATCTTGGCAGATTCCTTTCAGACTTGCCAATGACGGTTGATTCTCAAATGTCTGAAGGTCTTCCTCAAGGGCAGAGACTGACAACGCATGTCTGAAGATTCCCTCGTCCACTGGCTGACTGATTTGCGGGGTATCAAGTTCGATTTGGAGTAAAGGTAAAATTCTGTCATTACAACTGATGCTTTTACTCCAAGGTTGCCAGGTCTTTTCTTTGCCCTGGAAAGCCAAGCAGATACGCTCGCTGGGCGAGAAAGCCTGTAAACATATTGCGCATGCAAGTCGAATGATGGAAGAGGCTGAGCATTGTGCTTGTTCTTTGAGACTCTGAAACTTGTGGTGCTGGAAGAAAATCACCTCGACAGACCTCGAGGGTGTGTGGGAACCTAGATAGGTTGAAGCTGCCATTATTCAAGTCTTTTTCGTAGGCAAGAGATTTATCGGTGATAGAGAGAACGGAACTTGAACAGTACGCCGCTGCAATTTGAATCAACAAGTCGCAGAGGCTTTATGAATGCGAAGTATTGTGGTAGGTTGATTCGAGAGCTGTCCATCTATCTCTTAAGACTTCTGACTCCCCAATGGTTTTCGTTGACGCAACATAGATGAACATATCGACCGTCGCTCAGGGGCACAGAGGAGAAGCTCCTTCCGAGGTTCGACTGCGCCTCAAGAATGAAAATTTCTTCAACAGGCTGATTTCATCATCGGAGCATCTGAATTTGCCACGGTCCAGGGCAAGGGGCTGGTCACATACGCCCTACGCCGAGCGCCTTGGGGTGTTGAGAAGGTGGTTGCCTCGCGTCCATCCTATTACAGGACAAGCTTCGTCACATCCTTCAAGATTCCTCCCCAATATTCTCTACAAATCTTGGTAAGTAGGCAACAGTCTCACCGGATTTGATATAGTCACCGAGCTAATCTCATCAAATGAGGTAAGACTGTGGGCGATTCGTCAGCATCGTGAATTCGTGATAGTCGGAACAGCGCAGTTTGGAAGGTTCGGGCCCACGCCGTATGAAGTTTTCGTCACACAAAGAGGATACTGAAAACTTGGAGACCAATCGAGACCATCGGGCACAGATGACAGGAACTTTTTTCTGAATGTGTACAGCCTCTATCCTGTTTCAGGGGGACGGTCAGGATGCTGATCCATCCGCGCCAATCTAGCCATATTCCTCGGGCGAGATATGTGTTGACGACAGGCTAACGTACGAGCGAGGCTAATCACGGAAGAGGAAGTAAAAGTCAACCCTGTGAGACAGAATTCATCAGTTTTTGCAATTCTTTGGTATTATGCTTAGGTTGGGAAGCTGAACGAAGACATTAAATAGCTAAGCTCAACGGCCGGGACTGTTAGTCATCGAAACAAGTTGTCAAACTTGAAGTCGGCTGGGCTCACCTTGAATCTCAGATGAGACGGCAATGCAGCCTTACCATGTCGGTAGTGATCGATTGCAGCTGCAACACGCAGTTCAAGAGCGGGGTATATACTTCTTTGAATGTTAGTTTAGGCTAGGAAGCGGGATTCATTCTCTGATTTTGTGGACGTTCCCGCTCCTCTCTGACTGCTTATCAATTTTGGAACTAGCCGCGGAATCAGATGGGATCTGTCAACCGAAATGATTATATGGAGACAAGAATCATACCTTGCGAGGCTATGCCTTCTCTGGAAGGTGAGCGCTGGCTACACTTATGTGATTCGGAAGTCCGATCCTACCAATCAATTGAAAAAGCGAATCTTCCATCAAGTTGGTGGATGCACTCGGATGTGCTCGTTTCCATATGTTCTCAATGGACGCGGTTGAAGGATGAGACCACTGGTAAGCAGCTTCCTTTTCCGGTATCTTTCTGTCTAGGGTGAACGCCTTGTTCAGAGTATCTCTTCGTATCTAACTGGGCTGAACGAATACTACGCCGCAAGGATTGACGCTAAGAGTTGTGCAACCCATGTCAACCCAATGAGACACAGATGGAGTTCACAGACCCAAGGCTATCCTCGGGTCTTGGAAGTGCTACATTTCGCCCTCAGCTTCCGCAATGAGCGCTGACCCTGGACACCAAGCTTCCCGGATGTCTATCCGGCGACATACAATCCTTTGTCTGTCGGGCATGTCTGGATCCAGGATGCTCGGCCGGTGGGAGCGATGGAGCACCGTTGCTAATGGGTTGACCCCTCTGGTTCGTCCACGCTGCAGGTCTAGATCATTGAGGCCTTCTTGCTAATCCGAATGCTTTCTGCGGGTTGGCATTCCCGGAAGCCAGGATGCTGGGCGTTGCAGCCTTTTGTGTAGGATTTATGGGCATAAGCATTGAGCCCACTTCAGTCAGCTCTCAGGCCCTCAGTGGAAAGTTGCCACCTCGTCGTGATTCGTGAAATGGAAGTGAAAATGTTTTCTCTCTCGTTTAGCAATGTCTGACGGCTCGATACTCAGCTGTAGCTGGTCCCGACGCGATTCTCATGCAGACTTCGCCTCGTACTCTCAAGCTTTTTTCTATACATTTACTCAAGAAACCCAGAAAGATTCTCTAAAAGTTTTGAGTCACTCATATGTCTCACGATGGCACCGTTACAATCAGAGAAGACGGCAATGATTCAGACTGACGCGAAAGATTCCCTCCCATCGACCTCTAGCAGCTCGAACCGCGCGTCTATTACTGGAGAACGGGACATCGTCGTTGATGAAAAAACAAGCAATGTACTTTCGAGTGTCAAGAAACTTAGTTTAAAAACCGAGGAGGCAGCCAACACAGACGAAGCCGATGATGCAGGCGTCGACTATCCCAAAGGCCTCAGGCTAGTTTTGATCATTTTCGGGCTGGCCATGGCTGTCTTCCTGGTCTTCCTTGACATGACACTCATTGCCACCGCTATTCCGGCTATCACGAACCAGTTTAACTCCTTGCAACATGTTGGATGGTATGGCTCTGCCTACATGCTCAGCGTAAGACCCGAACTTCCATGAATCGCATCTTTCTCATTAACAAAAACTAAGCTTTGCTCATTCCAACTGGTCTACGGAAAATGCTTTGAGCTCTTTTCTCTCAAGTGGACCTTTATGGTGGCCATCGCATTTAGAGAAATCGGGTTGGCTGTCTGCGGAAGCGCCCCCAACTCGATTGCTTTCATTGTTGGACGAGCCATCACTGGGATTGGTTGCAGTGGCATCATCATCGGCGCCTGGGTGGTTCTCGCACACAGCGTACCCATTCGTCAACGTGCTGTCTACACGGGATTTCTTGGTGCATTCTCAGGTGTCGGTGGCATTATCGGGCCCCTCATTTCGGGAGCGTTGACTGACAGCCATCTCTCCTGGCGATGGGCGTTCTACGTCAGCATACCAATCGGAGTTGCGACGTTGGCATTGATCTTCTTCTGCTTTCGACCACCGCAGCAACCCGACCAAGGACAACCCCGGACTCTCAAGCAGAAGCTCATGGAGTTTGACATTCTCGGGCTCTCCATCTTCTTTGCTTGCATGATCTGCCTATTATTGGCCCTGCAATGGGGTGGGTCCCAATTCGCTTGGAATAGCGCTCCGATGACTGGCTTGTTGGTTGCCTTTGGTGTTCTGCTCATCAGTTTCATCGGTGTTGAAATCTGGAAAGGAGACAACGCCGCGTTGCCTCCTCGTCTTATGAAGATGCGGAATATCGCGTTCGCTTGTTTCTACTCTGCATGTATCGATGCAGCCTACTACACAGCCGATATATGGCTGCCAATTTGGTTCCAGGCTATCAAGGGAGAGTCTGCCAGAGAATCTGGGATCAAGCTCGTTCCCTATGTTGGCGGAGAAGTTATTGCCGCTCTAACCGCCGGGTACCTGGTCACTTACACAGGGTGGTACAACCCTTTCATGCTTGTAGCGACTATGTTGGGGTCTTTGGGTCTTGGCTTGATGACGACTTTCGAGCTCGACACCGGCCCGAGTAGATGGGTCACTTTCCCCGTCATCGCCGGCGTGGGAATTGGTCTGGGATCCCAGCAGCCAATGATGGGTGTCCAATCGACCCTCGCACTTTCTGATATACCGGCTGGTACAGCCGCTGTCACTTTGTTCCAGAACTTAGGACCAGCCATCTTAATGTCTGTCGCGAACACCGTCTTTGCTAATGGCTTAACGAAGCATCTGCATGGCACAGGAGGACTTGATGGACAAACGATTGCGGACATGGGGGCTACGAATCTCAAAGATATGATTCCGAAGGATCTACTCCCGGCTGTCATTGAAGCATACAACAGAGCACTCAAAGAGACTTTTACGGTGCCGATGGCTGTTGCAGTCATCTCTATCGTTGGGGTTGTAGGCATGAAGTGGGAAAAATTGCCCGGGTGAACCAACCGTCCGTCAACTTGCTCTAGCAACGTACACGAAATACTCGATCAATAAACGCATGAAATCTGTCTTTGCATGAGTGTAATGCTACTTACTTCAAGATGTATTGACGCAAATAATGTTGACCTCCGACAATTACGCAAGAAATCTAACAACCACCATGTGATCCTTTGAGCGGGTCGGATTCATACTTGACTAACGCAAAAGACATTCTCATAACGATCCTGTGAGTAGGTACGGTATGAGACCTGAGTCTCTTGACTACTTACCTTAAAACATTCAAACTCTTGTGTAAATTTAAGCTTGATGTTAGGTTCGTCCAAAGTGCAGTGCTTCTTATTCTTTTCTTTTTTTTCTTCTTCATTCTCCCTGTTGCTAGACTACTAACATCAGTTCCGAAACCCGCCCTTTTTGTTCTAGACTCTTGACCAAACACTTGAAGCCTTTTGGCTGTTCAAGTTGTAGGCCTCCCTAAAGAAGAATCTGTTTCTAAATTCTCCGGAGGATGGTAGTCTACCTTTTGTGGTTAGCTACAAACGGGGTGAAGCGATGCGAGATTGAGTCTTGCCTATGAAGGACTGCTCTACAGCATGGCGCTTGAATGGAGATTTTCGTACTCAAGCCTAATCTCAACCAATCTCAGGCACACCCCTGGCTGAAAATAGAGGCTGTCAGATCTAGAGGACCAAAAGGGACTTTGGTAGAGTGAGACGAAAGATATAACCAAAAAGAATGCTTTCTAGCGCCGAGTAGGATTACCAGTAAGACTTCCAACAGGATGTTGCCAACGTGAACCAACGCAAATCTGACAGGTGAGATTCCTCTTTGGGAAAGATGCAGCACTTCGGCAGGGTTGTTCCGCGCATTAACTGCCGTTGGTCCAATACGCATGTCTTTAAGCAAACATGTTTGCTACTCAGTCATCAGAACAGGAATGCCTCCCGTCAATATTGCCTCATCCGCAGTTGTTTCTGCCTGGATTACTGAGCCAATGGACGAAAGAAGATCAAGGTATAAACCTGCTTATCTTCTTCAGCGGCTCTTCCTCCCTCGTCTAAATGGGTCACATGTGCCCGCATGCTCAGAAGAATATCACCTTTCTCCACAGTGTGGACTATGGTCCTCAAGGGGTGACAGGGTCTAGGGTATACAAGAAATGTATTTAAGATGTGTTCGGTCCGGCAGATCGAGAGAGATTGAAGCCTGAAGATCTTGACCTCAAACTCATCGACTCTGTCAACATGGCTCCCCTCTTCCGAGCTGACCAGATCGGCTCACTCATTCGGCCCGCCTTCCTGCTCGAGGAGAGGGGTCCTTTGGGCTTGTATGGCAGCAAGTTGTCCGAAGATCAGGCTGCTGTCACATCTGCTTCAATCAAGTACGCCGTTCAGAAGCAGCTGAAACTCGAAATCAGGCCCATCACCTCTGGCGAATATGAAAGAACCATCTTCTTCAGCGGCTTGTTTGAGAATATTGAGGGGATGACAGTTAGGAACGATCTCAGGATTCCCCAAGACTTCCGACCCAACCTACCTACCTTCATCGGACTTGCTAAGATGGGATACAATCACTTCTCCGCTGTGCCCGCCACGGGAAAGATCAAGTTCGTGGATTCGGCTTACCTTCCTGCTTGGGAGATGATTAAGAAGACAGTCCCTCAAGAACGCTGGAAGGACTGTAAGATGTCCATACCGTCCATCTCTTGGCAACACATGTACCTTGCAAACGGCACAGCGTTTGCCCCTGGGGTTTACACTTCTGACAAGGACTATTTTCTCGACCTCGCGGCAGCATTTCGTTCAGAAATCCGAGCTCTCTATGATGCGGGCCTCAGATCGATACAGGTAGACGATCCAAATTTAACTTTCTTCGTCACAAAGGGCTTCAGAGAGGGTCTTAGGGGTGATGGCATCGACCCTGAGGCCCTGTTGGACCTCTACATTTGGGCGCACAACCAGGTCTTGAGGGATTTACCAACTGACTTGCATATGGGCATTCATCTTTGTCGCGGCAACATGCCTGGTCAGCCGTCTTTTGCCAAAGGATCTTACGAAAAGATTGCCGCCAAGGTTTTCCCCAGGCTCAACTACCACACGTTTTACCTAGAGTTTGATGACCCTCGAGTGTCTGGACACTTTGATCCGTTGAGATTTGTTCCCAAAGGGAAGAATGTGGTTCTTGGCCTCGTTTCAACAAAGGTTGCAGACCTTGAGAACAAGGAGGCATTGATCAAGAGGGTTTATGAGGCTGCTGGAGTTATGGCAAAGGCGCAAAGACGGAACGTCTCGGAAGTTCTAGCAGACTCACTCGCTGTGAGTCCTCAGTGCGGCTTCGCTAGCTTCAGTGTCAACCAAGGTGCAACTACTGAGGACAGAATGTGGGAAAAACTTGTCCTTGTTAGAGATGTGGCGAGGTCTATCTGGAAAGATGCTGTTTGATGGGGGCGCTTGCTCCGAGTCAGTTCTGGAATTATATCGAACGCAGCCAATTCCCGACTTTATCTAAGTAATGTTACTTGTAAACTCTAATGAAGTCTATTCCGTCATGGTTCCGACTACGATAGGCCTATGCATGCACCGTGAGAACTTCAAGGACGTTAAGAGCTCGACCCAGCAGAAGATATCACTAACACAACGTTAAGTAAGGTAACAGAACAGGAAAGAGAAATCATGGTGATAGCCTCGTCGACTGTGACTTGAGTGCTACTTTGTCTGAAGTCTCACTTTTCCTTGAAGCACAGAAGAATATCCCTGGCCCAGAACCTCGGGGTGTAGCGTAGTCCATAATGATTCTGGATCGGAGGCGGCGTTCCAAACAAGCGCCGAGGCCGAGATGACAGGTGGGCCGCGGAACTAAGTCCCGGACAACAGCTTGGTTGATCGTCGTACCATGCAATTCGCCCATCAATTGGGGCATTTGCAGTCTTTCGTCAGAACGATTGGTTCTTAGAATACTCTCAATCATTGAGAGAACCGACACCGAGCAAGATGAGACCAGCACGAAGAGAAACCTGGCCGGTCACAGCGCAGATCAGCGCCTCAAGAGGCCAAGCCAATGGACTAACGCAGTCCTCGATTTTCTCGTTAACGGTCAACTCTGGCAAAAATATCGATAGGCGTCATGGTGATGTACCAATCGTCGATGATACCATGAAGTCGTCTTAACAAACCAATCGAGGTGGTCTAAGAGCGGAGATGCGCCACATAACATTGAGGATAGACTGCTAGCCTGGGCCCTGGCCCTTGATATGAGTTTTACTTAAGGTTGATTGAGCGTTTTGAATGGAACAGGATGTTTTAATCATCATTAACGTCACAGGTGTGTCCAATGTGGAAGTATCCGAGTCTCCAGGAGAAGTTGAGCTTGAAATTGATCATATGCCATACTGAAAGAGCAGCAAGAACAAACATTATGTAATCACACTGAATTGGCAGGGATGCCCCACCAGCTGCGCGACAGGGATAAGGTGCCGACCTTCCATACGGATACTTGCCCCGCGCGCATCGAAGCTCCCCACCAAAACTCAAAGCTGTCGCGATTAACTTCAAGAAAGCTCCGACGTCACTCTGCCATTTCGCGCGTCTCACCGGAAGACGCCTTTCCATTTCCTCGAGGTTTCTTGGCTGACCACCGACCACGAACTATGGCGACGATTGGAACTCTCCAGCGCATCAGTGCTGCCAAACTCTCCACCCTGCTGTTGGCAGACCAGGCTGCAAGCACTTCGTCTGTGGCCGTCGTAGATGTTCGCGACGATGGTTAGCTTCTTTCTTGACCTCATTCAAAGAAACGCTAGAGTGCACTGCTAAACTGTATCCTTCCCACAGACTACCTCGGCGGTCATATAAAAGGCTGCATGAACATGCCCTCCAGAAGTCTCGATGCTACAATGCCCACCCTCATGCGCCGCCTCGAAGGCAAGAAGACGGTCGTATTCCACTGCGCTCTATCGCAGCAACGCGGACCCAGTGCTGCCCTTCGATATCTCCGAGAGCGCGATCAGAATCTCACCTCTAAGACCACTACTGACTCGGCGGAGGACTCGGCATCTGCGGAGCCCCAGACAGTATACGTTCTCGATCGCGGATTCGTCGGTTGGCAGGAAAAGTACGGCGAAGACGAACGATTGACCGAGGGATATAGCAAGGAACTCTGGAAAGATGGCTACTGGATGTAAGCTTCTGAAACCTAGGCTTGATGCTTTCGAGTCACTGCGTTTCTAGGTAAAGGAACAGAATGCCTGATGGCCCAATGGGTATTTACTCGGCCTTGGTGCGACTCCGTATCCAATAGCCCGCAATGTCGTGTCAAGATTGCAAAGTGGATGTCTACTCTTGGTACTAAAACTCCAGCTCTTCCAAACCAACAGGCAATATTGGCCGAATTGTTAGCCTCGTTTTTGTTGAGGCATTCGGATGGGCTGGTAGCTGTGCCTTAAATATCCGATTGTTCGTTGTCAAAACTCATGTTTCTCGCCTTTGAGACATGTTATTTGATGAAAGTATCCATTGGTACTGTCTTGCGATCTATACCGGGTCGGAATGACCCTCAAGACATGCTCTCTACTGCTAGATTAGTCTACAAGTCTACAGAGGGCAAGCCCTATTTCTCTGTGTCCTACTCTTGAGTTCATGTAGGGATCTCTCGACGTCATGGAACTCAGCCCAGCCACTATCAAACGAGGTCTCCAAGTGCTTCTGACTGCCTGGAAATGAGGCTATCAAGGTCGCCTAGTGAACATACTTTGAAGCTCAGGCGTCAGGCTTGTGCATGTCGATCAAGGTACCAGACACCAATACTCGAACACACTTGATGGAGAAACATCAAGCTAAACTTATACATTTCCAAATTCTAGTCAATTGGCGTTGTTCCTCTATATATGTTTACTTGAAACTCTTTCACGGCATTGCCTCGAATCACTCTGCAAGCTTTGAGGCCATTTCTGCAGTGCTCGCACTCAAAGTTCATCAGACCAAGAAGACTTAAGTTCAGCTCTATTATAGCCACCGCTCAGGAAGAGGTAGTCGACATGTATACTTCTGGAGAAGTAGCTTGGACTATCATCGGAAGCTTCGCAATACTGACTTCAGTCTTGTGGACTGCGTTTGCTGCTCATCAGGAATCTCGATCAGAAAACAACAAACTCTCATCTACTGAATTCGCCGCTGTCTGTTGCCTGAAATTCTTTGGATGTCTCATCCTAACACCGCCGATACTGGCCTACGGCATTGTGGTTCTTTGTCTGGCAATTGCCTCTATTATCCCCAGCATTCTCTTCAGACCTTGCGTCGAACCCGTCTGCGGGCCTTTCGCTTGCAGCAAAACCGCAAACGTGCCCGACATCTTGGATATCGCCTTCTACCCTTGCTGTTATGTCATCCAGTACTGGAGGGTCTACAGTATGTGGCTCGTCGGAGACGATTGAGAGGACCCAACATCTGCAAAAGCTTCAATGACGAAGACTGAGGGCTCAGAGAAGGCAACTGAAAGCCAAACCGGCGAGCCAAGCTCCAGGTGATCGAGGTAAGTAGGACGATCTGCTTCGGTGGTGTCTTTGCACTACCTAGGCTAACGACACTCAGAAAACAAGTCGTTCCGAAAATTTTAAAATCCGTTATGGTGCACCTAGATCATTTCAAGAATCTACGTAAGGTACGGTGAGGTTCAATTTCGAAGAGGTTCTAAAGGGAGCTCTCACGGACATGTCACCTTTCAGTAAGGTACGAACATGAAGTAACCCTAAGGTACCTCAAGGTACATAGTATGAACACGAAGTAGATCAGTTTCAATAAGTTCAAGTTTTGATGTCCCTCTGGTCATTCCGAACCAATTGAGTAATACTGATTTCTTCAATGATAATGACGGCTTACCTTCTATTTTTGAGATGAACACCTGGGTAATGGGTATCGTCCCATCTGCATTGATCCTGAATATTTCAAGCTGGCATAATGCCAAGCAAGCAGTATGCCAGTTTCCCAGCCGTCCTAGAGTGACTTGTGTTTTCATCTCCTCACCATCCTTACTACCCCAAGGCGGAACCGGCTTCGCCCATGTCATCATATTCGCCTTGGCCACCTTTGAAAGTCAAGCCAAGCCATTGGCATTCTCAATGTCCGGGGATTCCAGCCAGTGTCTAATCTTCAAATTTGTCACAGGGTCAGTCATGCTTAATCATAGGATGCATTGATGGTGTCTGCGCGACATGTCCAGCCATAACTCTGCTCGTGAACCTAAGTCCCAACTCGCATCAGAGATGGATAGACTTAGTGGAAATACCACGCCAAGGTCCGTATTTTTGAGACAAAATTTCAGTACAGTGTACGCATCTCTCCGCTTCAGGCAGAGTATCTGGCTGATTTGCAAAACTGCCGACTTCAGCCAGATGTGAGGTGAATGAGTGTTTAACCCTCACAACTTGACTGTTTGGAAATTTGCATGCTCATGATCAACTCAGTGAGGCTGCTTCCCATGAAAGCATAATATAAAGCATTAAACAAATTCTACATTTAATGACTACCTTGACCCCGTAGAATAGCCGTGGTGAATGCTAAAATGAAAACGAACGCCGATTGCAGATCATCAAGCGGGTGTATTCCTCATGCTATAGATTTAATCTCCTTCAATTGGTGGGACTATCAAGAAGCACCAAGTGTCAGAAAGCCAAGTTATCGGATTGTTTTCAATTCGGACATCATTTCTGCACCAACGACGATGACTTTGGGATTCCAAGCCTTCGAAAAAGGAAACTCTGTCAATCATTCCAAGGATTTAGTGAGCCGTGAAGATTTTCCGCGGCTCAAAACTCCGTGTAGATAGATTAACCAAGCATGCATATCACATGTATGGGGTACTCTTGCCTGAGGTACGTAACATTGCTCGATGCGAGCCCCCTCATACAGTTCCTTCGCTGTGTGTCGAGGCTTCATGCTTTCTGGACTGAAATTCTCTATAAAATGTCTCCGCCGCAATCATCATGAGGACGAGAGCGCTACATCCTAATCCCGGTTTTCTACACTTACAAGCTTTTTTTTTTCGTTTTCAAAATCATTTAGAGCGATGCTCAGCAACATCGGAGTCCTCGCCGTTGCTCTTCTTGGGGCCCTTCCCACGAGCTTAGCATGCCTAGGGTACGAGGGCGGTCTGCCTAAGGCCACTTCCAACAAACAAATATCTGCTCCCATCTACGTCAAATCTGGTGAGGTCTTTGACGGCGGTTGGGCCAAATATGATAGGAACCCCACCTCTTGCAGAGAGCAGGTGGAAGGAGGTATGATGAGGAAACTCCTCTTTTTAACCCATGTTACTCTCTGCCCTACCTACGCCGTTGTACCCATACTTGTGCTTACAATGTGTGACAACCTTAGGTGAGAAAGACACAGCTTTCGTTTTGCAGAAAGGTGCCACTTTGCGAAACGTCATCATTGGAAAGACGGCTGGGGAGGGCGTTTACTGCCTGGGAGGGGGATGCAACATCGAATTCGTCTGGTTCGAAGATGTTTGCGAGGACGCCGTCTCCATTGTAAGTCCTCGACCTGTACTTTTTGCACGCTATGAATCGCTAAGCCACCTGAATCCTTTAGAAGAACGACAAGGCCGGTGATGTTACCTGGATTGTTGGAGGAGGAGCCTACCACGCAGCCGACAAGATCATTCAGCATAATGGCTGCGGTCGTGTGAACGTGAGTTACCCAGTACCCACGCACATTCACCGTTGACTAATTTCCAAAAGATCATTAACTTCTATGCAAACGATTACGGCAAGGTCTATCGCTCGTGCGGAACAGTGAGTCATCCCTCTTCAAGCTTCATACGAGTTTAGCAGAGAGCTCACCACATGACAATAGTGCGAGAAGTGCGCCCGTGAGGTTTACATCGAGGGCGTGACTGCCCGCAATGGAGGCGAGGTGGCCGGAATCACCAAGGCCAATGGCGACAAGGCAACTCTGGTAAATGTCTGCACCGATGCTAAAACCCCTTGCCAGAACTACAGTGGTCCTGGCGTCAAGGACGGCCCTTGCTGAGTGAGAAATCAAGCCTGGTTCTGTGCATATTGTCTCACTATCAGCATTCCTAGTGGTGCTGGTAAGGTGGTGAACCTAGAAGCTCTCCGTCCATTTCCAAAACCCGCGAGTCCCAACTACAAACGAGATTGCGTACGAGACCACCTCATCCGCTCATTGGAATTCATATCGTCTTCCGGATCAAAGTCACAATTATCATTAGTGCAATATGCATTTCTGCCTGCTTTAGTACTGAATTGCCAGTCCATAGAATCGAGGAAGTGTCTCGAGCCATTGATAATTACCCCAATCAACTACCTTAAGAATCAAGACGACCAATTTTTTTAGGTTCGTGCATACTAATCCTTCTTGCCATGCTGCACTGGAAGTAGCACAGCCCCCGGCGATGTTCAATAGTGGCTGGGCAGGCAGTCCTGTCATGGTGCACCTCCCTAGCGATTCCATAAGTAGTTGTCTCGATGTGGTATTGACTATGTAATTAGCTTCTGGGTACAAGCCATTCTGAAGCCGTCGTGTAGAGATCGACGAGACCATGCCAATTCCCACCATGTGGCCACACTACCGTGTCTTTTACTCCCAACGTCACGGCCAATGATAGGAGCTGTGATGACGAGGTTTATCTGATATAGATCAATCCCGTGAACTCCGGTAGATTCAATATCAACAGAATGCGGGGAAAATCAACTTAGATACCGTGTGTGGATAAGCCTTGCTGCTCCGAGTGGTTGGCATTACCGGGTAATGCTTAGCCGCAAAAGCCACACCTTCAGACTCACCGAGCGGGTAATGCCCACCCGCGATACACGTCTCTAAGAGGCCAACTCCACGGTTAGTCAAAAGATAGAGCAACCCTGCTGAAATGTTACACTTCCGCGGAAGTGAGAGTGTTGGTTAGTCTGATTGATCGGCGACTGAGAGCTGAAGATAGGGATGTCTCGAAAGATGGCACTTGTTGGAGTTTTGGTGTTCTGAATGAGAAGCATCAGCTCGAGCGCTCCTCTATCTTTGATAGGCCTAATCAGCGCCGGATCCGCGAGGAGAAATGTTCACGACATATAAGAACCAGCTGCCTCAAAGTCTATGGGAGATGTTCCCTTCAACGTATCATCACTACCGAAAGTCAAACTCCAGGGGACAATATCTTACCTATCGATTACTGTGAGTAACTCTCCGTTCTAACTTTAAGAGTGATAACAAAGCTGACCAAGTCACAGTATCAATATACGCTTGAAATGGTCCAATTCAATCTGACCGAAGACCAAAAGGCTTTGCGCGCCAAAGGAGCCAAGGTTGCAAAAGAAGTCCTGACACACGCCTACGCAGATTATTCTAAGCACTCTGACCAACTTACACGATTCCGAGCCACTCGGCCTTACTACGGCAAGTTAGTAAAGGAGGGATTACTAAAGGCCTTTGTCCCCAAGGCTGCAGGCGGTGATGCAGATACCCTCTTGGAGACGGCCTTCCTTCTGGAAGAGCTTTATGCAGTCGAGTCTAGCATTGTGATTCACCTGGTTGGCAGTGCTTTAGGACTCTTGCCTCTGGTTCTTGGCGGTACAGCCGAGCAGCAGAAGAGGTTCTTGAAGCCATTTCTCTCCGGTGAAGGGGACCCCCTGGCGAGCCTGGCTCACTCAGAACCAGGCGGCACTGCGAACCACCTTGAGCCAGGAGGAAAGGGCCTTGGAGTAACTGCTAGGAAAGAAGGCGATTTTTACATTGTCAATGGCGAGAAGGTAAGAAATCTATTCAGTTCAGTTGAACTCTATAGCTTCATAATAAGTCTAATCTTGCAATAGCTATGGACCACAAACAGTGCCGGCTGGGACGGCAAAGGAGCCGAGCTTACGTGCCTTTGCGCACGGTATTCTGAGGACGGCGGCTCAGAGAAGTCCGGCGTCAACCCTGCGGATAATCTGATGGTATTTATGGTGACTCGAGAGGTTGTGGCTCAAAATACCCCGGAGGCCTTTGAGCTTCTCAGCGAACCTGAGCTTTTCGGGCACATCGCTGTCACTGGCCCTCACACCCGATACACCAACTTCAAAGTGCCAGCTGATCACGTTTTGTTTGCCCCCGGCAAGGCTGGACCATACATCGAGCAAGCTTTTGGCATTTCCGGAGCCCTGGTCGGGGCCATGGCCGTCGGTACCATGCGCGCCGCATTCGAAAAGGCACTCGGATTCGCAAAGAACGACCATCGCGGCGGATCGATGCCCATCATCCAAAGACAAAGTCCTGCAGACCTGCTCATCAGTGCAAAGATCAAGATTGATACCTCCCGAATGCTAGTATGGAAAGCACTCGACGGCTTGGACAACGGTCCTGGGGATGCAAAAGCTCGCTTTGAGTCTTGCCTGACAGCCAAAATCTACAGCAGTGATTCGGCAGTCACCTGCGTGTGGGACTGCATGCAAGTGGTTGGCATGTAAGTCAACTTTCTCTCTTGAATTCAGTACTTGAATGTATTCTTACGAAAGACCAGGACCTCGTACGCTGAGAGCGCTGGCTTCTCGCGCCTCCTAGCAGATGCGGCTGTTTTCCCCTTGTTTGATGGGGGCAACGTTGGCATCAGGCGACGCCAGTTCCAGAAACTAATGTGTGAGGAAGAGTACAAGCCGTGGGCAAATCTGTAGTCACCCTCATGCGAAAGAGACTTGCTCCTCATATCTAATCGTGTCTCCCTTCAAAGACTTCCCAGTCGATGTCACTCGAGTCATGAAGGCGGACGGAGCTTGAGCTAGAAGTCTTGTTTATAGCACACCTTGGTCGTCTGGGTTTGAACCATTTAACTGTAATTAAATCATTCAAAGATTAATTCGAAACTGCGGCGGTCTGTATGCTCGATTCCAGCGTGATTCGTATCTATGTCATTTAAGGTTCATCGGGAGGAATCTATACTAGCAAGCACCGCAGTGACGGCCCCGAATACGGCTACACTACCTTGTTGGCATGACGATATTGTTCTGGCTATCTCAAGTGCTTATTTGCATTCCACTCTCGCAGTCTCCACTCTGCTTTAGATAAATCAGTCCTTGGCCAACCTCGATCTTGTGTAACCATCACGATCACATTTGCAACCCAATCCGAATTCTTCGACAACTTCATCTCACCCTTGAACAAAGCCATGGATCCTCATCTACAAGTCTTAGTCAACCACTCGGTGACGATGGCCACCGTCTTCTCTGCAGTCGTACTGGCGGTTTCCTTCCTGACGGCGGCTATCGACATGCGTGAAGACAGCATAACACCACAACCTCAATGTCCGGCCAGACCGAGACCGCGACTTGTCTTCTGGCTTCTTCTCTCAATTATACAATCGATCATCATGCTCCTCTGGATGGCCGGCTGTGTCTTGATTGTGCCAGTCGCAGTCGTGCAGATGGCTATTTATAGCCCCATCGCGGCCATAGGCTTCGTTATCCAACAGACAAGCGGGCATCATTGTGCCGCAAGAGTAGCTTCCAACATTTGGGACGCTGCTACTTTTTATGGAGTTGCACCTGCAACCCTGAGAAAGCGGTCCCTCGATGCAACTGCCTGGCTTTCAAGTGGTTTCTGGTCAAGGCGGCAGTGCGAGGATCCCGAAGCACAAGAGCTGATGGACAAATCGCCCCGCAGGGACGAGAACATGGAATGATATTTGTCGAAGAGATCTTGAGGGCTCATCTTACAGCATGCCAGCACGGTTTCGAAACGGCGACCGTAGGATGTACCTGCGCAGGGTTGTTGGGACAAGAATTTGCATAGCATCGAGTGCGAAGGCTTGCTATCCAGAGAAGTGCAGCAAATCCGGCTGTTCTTCATGGGATGACACGTCATGTTTTTTTTTCGTCATTTGGTGAACGGTAGAAAGCCTTTCGCCTACATTTGGGCCCGAATACGCCCTTATTTGTTGCAGTGTAAGGTACCTTAGTTGAAGAAACCGGCTGGTTCTAGAGATATAATCCTTTTCCCATGATTGAACTGACTATATTAGATAATTATGTTGGAATATGAAGAAATCAGTTCAACTCCCGCTATGCAAATTCCATCATGTCCACGTCAAGTGACGCTCCCAAACACAAATCAATCACGGAACAATCTATCTGCTGCATACCCCCTTCTTATCGAAGCCCGCTATCGAAAGGCAGAGCATTCTCGCCATGCAATTGTCTGTAGTCATCCCAAGCCGCGCAAACCTCGCGAACATCATCAGGGATCTTGCTTTGCCGAACCGTCTTTGGCTTGACCAAGAAGTTGATATATAGACCAACGCTAGCATGCCACGCAGTATGGCAATGGAAACTCCAGATTCCTGGGTTTTTCGCTTCGAACTGCACAACAAGATTCCCGTTACGCCGGAGAAGTTCCGTGTCGGCGCGAGCCGGGTTCTTGGGATACTTCAGACTGCCGTTGTAGAACCCATCCGATTCGCTCAGGATCTGGAAGTCACCGCCATGAATATGCATTGGATGAACGGAGAAATGATTGTTGAGCACAACGCGAACATGGCGGACATCGTCAGGAATCGTGGCCAAGATGTGCTGGGGATCCTTAAGATACTCCGTGTGACCATCAACTGCCTCGATGTATAACGGGCGGCTCCAGTCGGCCTTGAATGTCACGTTGTTCATTAGCCATTGATGATTACCGCTTGCGTTTGATCTGAAGTCGATGTCGTAGAGAAGTGTGAGATCAGGCTTAGGGACACTCTTCTTGTAAATAGGCTTTTTCAAGTGAAGATCAGGCTACCAAGACAGGTTGAATTAGCATGCCGGCTTAATTGGACAAGAGATGAGACTAAGTAGCACTTACGTCACCGCATGTTGCGGAGAAGCTTGGAAGAGGTGCAACAGTCTTGGTGGCTGGAACAACCGAGCTGGGCGTCTCATCATAGTAGATAGTGCCCAGTGTCTCGTTGACTTTGGTGGCGGCACACTGAATTCTCGTGCGCATGTAGTAAGATCGCTTTGGGTCTCCATTACCCTTGACGAGAACTTCAGCTCTCATGCCGACGCCGAGGATGATGTACTCCACTTCGTAAGGCTCTACAGGCACGAAGTCCATTGTGGTTACAATGAGTTTGTGGCCGTCGATGGAAAAGATCTGCATAGCTTCAACGCTTGTGTTGATCAACCGGAGCTTATGAACTTTGCCGGACTTGAGTCTCAAAGATGCGCGTGGAGCATTGCTCTTGCAAGTCGTGTTCGCAGGAGCAAGTGAGCAGTCGAAGTCATTCATTCCGTTTATCAACTGATTGTTCGACTGGGGGGCGTAGACAGTGGTATCGTTACTGGTTGATATGGCGTCCGAGGCAATCTTCTCGTAAGGATAGTGATAATAGTCGGAGAGTGTGACGGGGCCCAAGTCGAGATCGTATTTGACGTGAGAAGGGCCGTAGATGACCATTGGACCCCACAGTCCTCCGCCATACTGCAACGCGTGATGGCCATGGTACCATGTCGAGCCATACGTGCTGGCTTTCCAGCGATAGGTAAAACTCCCACCGGGTACAATGGGGCATTGCGTGATGCCGCTGACTCCGTCCATGAGCCCAGTCCCTTGCTGGTGTATGCTTGTAACAGCGTTAGCACGAAGCCGCCAGCGGCTGTGTGGATGTGAGTTATTCTGTACTCACCCATGCCAATGCATCGCTGTGCCTTCCTCCGGAGCCGTGATGTTGTTGTGGACGGTGACCTCGACAATATCCCCCCAATTGGCCTCAACGAGAGGCCCAGGGAACTGGCCATTGACAGTGAGAAGTGTTTGTTCTGCAGGCAATGACGATGATCAGTCACTGGCCAGAAATAGGCGAGAAAAGCGATCTGCCTTGCTCGATCGAAATAGGGATCATCTGATGGTGAGGCTAAAGGTTGATGTAACGTACCAAATCCATCCGGTGCTAGGACAGCCCGTTGTATCGTCCATTCGTATTTTCGTACGACGCCAGTGTCAGGCACATTCTCAGGATCAGATTCGCATGTCCGGTTACCCCACGGCGGACTAGCTTTCTTCTCGCTCGATTTGGCTCCCAGATATCGGGGCAAGCAGGTTGGAGTTGGCAAAGTTGTGGAAATAGTCGCTGCAGTCCCAGACAAGGCATGCACTGTCTGCGAGATACCCGAAAGGAGGCCGCACAAGCTAGGAATATGTTAGCGCTGACGAAGAATAGGCTCGGGTGAAATTAAAATGAAATACCTCAGGACTGCTGATGGTGAAGGCTTCATCTTGCTGTCGAAACCAGAAAGCAAAGGCAGTGATGGAAGGGTCGAAGTGACAGTCGACCGGACCAGGGATTGCAACCCAGACGTCTGCGTACGACTTATAACTGATGCATCAGAACTAACAACGCTGCCATCCCACTGTGCAGTTCATCTATTTGCGAAAGCCTCGACAGAATTCGTCGAATTGCCTAGCCGGCCGGCGACATTCATGATCCCGGCGCATGGGGTTAGTTTGCCCCAAGACTTACGCCAAGGGCGAAGAGAAAATAGCAATCCGGGATCCCAGGGTCGTACGGTGCTTCCGAGGTGGCACGCTCGTGGCTTCCCGTCGGGTCGGGCTGAGCGTTGAACGACTGGGAAAGACGTCGAGCTGCGTGTGGCTTGAAGCTGAAATGCCAGCACTTGGGGAGTTGCCGCACGCGGCCAACGCCACAATACCTGACATGCATGGTTGCCATGCCGCTAAAGCACAGATTTGTCGGTATACTCGTATACCAACTGGTTTGCAAGTTTGTCTAATCTGATACTACTCATCGAATGGAGCCAGGGTCTGCTGCTGTGCTTGTTTGCTGCCGACCTGCAATTTGACTGACAATGTGTTAGTGCCGTTGAGTGATCCCCCTTGCTGTACAGAGTATGCTCAGATATTCTCGAGTACACCTGATTGCTTGACTTCTGGTCTCGGAAACTTATTAGCTCTGTGTCACTTTCGTCGAAGCGTGGCACCGCAGGGCCCTAGGGCTGTGGAACGAGCTAGGCTGACTAGATCAAGTTGAGTGAGTCGACCGACTCGGCGCGCAGCGGCTTCTGTCGAATGGGAATGGCCACTTTGACAAAGGATTTAAGGTAGGAGCTAAATGTTGGTTCGCTTGAAATGGCCCAGCCAAAGGTGTCAAGCCGCATGCATCCTACATCGATTTCAGCAAAGGGCTGTGAAGCATCATTCAGATGATTATCTACTTTCCTTTTCTCTTCAGCGAATGGGACGGTTTACCCAAAGACACCACAGCAGCTAGGCGATTTGCGCCAAGCTCGAAACGGCGTCAAAAACCCTCTGGCCCGAATTCTGGGTAAGCCACGATAGCTCCAGAGTGCGAGCTTCCCTGCCTGATATCCGGTGAGGCGGAAGCTCCCCAGATTGCCAAGAATGTGCCGCAATTTCCGGGCTTGGATAGAGGTCTTTGCTATGAGCCTGGAATAACATGAATGCGATGTGAGGGTAACTCGTCGAAAGATTCTGATGCCACGAATTCGACGCGGGAGTTCGCCATTAGATATGGTGGCAAGTAATATTTCATTCTTTGGCAATATTGTAGACTTTGAATTCTCGCCCGTGTCCGCACCTTCTGATAATCCAATTGAGAAACCAACGCCTTACGCCAACAGCCCTAAAACCAGAAAACGCCACCCAGTGCTTTTGCTACAGCAAACGCAGTTGCATCAGATAAGAACAAGGTATCCTTGAAGGAAAATAAAACAGCCAGGAAATGGTATACTTAAATCCGCCAGAAATTCTTCTGCCCAACCTGCTTGATCTTCGCGAGTGCAACCAGAAGACCACCCAGAAGCATGGAAGCGCCAGCAAATAGTTGCGCATAGAGGAAATCGCCGTGATTCAGCCCGACAAGACTTCCACCGATGGGAGGACCAGCAAGACAAGCAAAACTTACGATGGTGAAGACCATGCCGATGCGTACCCCGAGCTTTGACATGTCTGACGTGACCTCACCCATGGATGCCGTGAACAGCGTCTGTACTGCGTTGGCGGTGAAGGCGTACGCAATGACCCAGGCGTAGAGTCCAGCCATGGAGCTCACAGCGATCCAGGCAAAGACGTTGAGACTACTCAAGAGCAGTGATATGACGAGTGTTCTGAGAGGCTTGATGCTCTTGTCGGCGAGGTATGGGGGGACAAGTCGGCCTATGATGCCCACGGCTGACATGACGATGAGGACAGTCAAGGCTCCGCTGTCATCGAGGCCGAGCTTGTTGCGACTGAAAAGGGGTACCTGGCGAGAAAAGTGTTAGTTCATCATTTCTGATGGAAATGGCAAGAGATAGTCGGTGAAGATACGTACATAATAGTATGCAAAGTAGACGCCCAGCAAGGCGAAGAACATGCCAACGGTGAATAAGAGGTACGGCAGTTCCTTGAATGCTGACAGTTCAAGCAGGGGACCACCCTTGCGCGTCGCAGCTTTGGGTCGCGCAATGAGGTAAATGACGACGCTGTCAGCAAGAACCAAGAAACCCATGGTGCGAAGAGTCCACTGAATTCCCGTCCTTGGGATCATCTCACGAGCGATGATGGTGAAGATGACGGCACCGATGGGGGCACCGCAGGAACTGATCCCGAGCGCTAGACCCCGCCTCTTTGTGAAGTATTGAGAGACTAGCCAGACGAGCGCGGTAAAGTGCATGCCGTTGCCAATTCCCGTGGCGATGCCTTGTGATAGCAGAAAGTGCCAGTATTTGCTGGAGAATGAGGCTCCAAAGATTCCTCCGACTTGGAAGACGATGCCAGTGATCAAGGTGATTCTAAAGTGACCGGCGTCGATGAGTCTGCCGCTCAGGGTTCCTAGTAGGAAAAGGAGGAATATCTGCATCGAACCGATCCATGAAATGTCGGAGGTTGAACTGTCGGGCAAGATCTTGACGTATGATGCCTGGAAAACACCAAAGGCTGTGATGAAACCGAAGCCATCCAAGACCAGAAGAAATGCGACGAGGACTTGGAGCCAGCCTTGCAAGCCACCGTCTGGCCCGTCAATGATGGGAGGAACTAGTTCGGCTTTTTCTTCGTCTGCTTGTAGTGATCGTTGTTGACCTTCGGAAAGAGTCTGGCTTTGAGGTCGGACATGATGCTCGTCGTTATTCGACATGATGGCTTGCTTGTGGTTGTAAGTTGTAGTATGGGCGTGGTGGTCGGAAGGTGCCAGTTGATGGTGCTCATCGTATTGCACGGTTTGGACAACGGGCAGAGGTGGGAGATCTTTCTCCATCATGATGATACGAATAGTAAGCAACTTGAAGCTAGTTGGTCCAGTAAAGTCACCGAAGAATGGAAGCAATCGAGGTATGAATGCCAAACTTTCGATTGTGGATCAGCTACTATAGAAAACGAGGGGTTATCATGTCGACAAAAGGAAACCGAGATGCTCAAAACGCAAAGTGCTATACCGAGCCATTGGTTCTTTTACGGCAAATCGAAAATAGCTCTCCAAAGTATCCGGATACGGCAAGTAATTGAGTTCACCAGACCGACGCCTCGCTCACGACGCCGGCGACACCAGCTCAGCCTGGCTGACTAGGACACACAACAGAGATGACCGGAATGCGACGAGCGAACCAAAAAGTTCAAGACACATTTTGGTGATGGATCATTTTCCCAGCTTCACGAACCTAAAATGGGATGGGCTTAGCTCGAGCACTTAGGCGAGGACTAATCCAGACGTGTCAATCCATTGGCTGACCTGCTCTAGGACTAGTAGCCGACAGCCAAGTCAAGCCTCTTCAGCCAAACGACACGGTCAGGGTTAGGTTGTGTTACGTTCCCAAAGCCTCCGAACGTGGGAGGTGCCTCCACAGATTCATGGGGACCACGAAGTCCCCATCTGCTCTTGGCAATCATGGAAATCAGGGGACACACGCGCGAGCAGTGGGTGAAGCTAAGATTTCGTGCCCATCATGCCGGTATAGCCGGTGTTGACCTAGTCTCATCGCCGACACGAGGTAAGACAATGCCTTTGCCTCGAGCGTGGGACCATCAGGTGTGCTTACTTTGAGTCAAGTCAGGTAAAGGTAAGGTGGTAAGTAGTTAGACCATGGAAAAGGGCAACGCGTACCCTCGACCGCTCTGCAGGTGCATGCAGACACGGCCACTCCCAAGTAACGATGCATATCCATGGCCAGACTCCAGCCTTGGCTTGTGGTAGCTCAGCCTAGACGCCACAGTGCACTGCGATCCAAGCCTGGGCTTCGACAATGGGAAAGTTTCCGAGTAGCGTCCTGAATGCATGCGGCATACAACAAGATATCCAGATGGCATTCTCTAAGGAGGTTCCTATTCCAGGTTAAAGTGAATCCCAAGTATAAGAAGAATCTCCAAGACCGGCCATGATTGGTATCGATTGTCTACAACCCAGATCATCCTCCTCATATAATACAATCAAGCATCATTTCCTTCCTGCTCAGGTTCACTGCCCATCATCTCACGGCATCCGCCTTTCATATCTTTTCTCTAATTTCCTCTATAATCCCTTGGTCAACCATCAAAAATGGCCATCTCCGCAGCAGACCCCGTCCCCGTGTCCCCCACGGACGCCAAGAAGCCGGCATCTTCCACCGGAAAGCTCATGGCAAGACCTGTCCTCCAGCTCCGTGCTCCGACTTACAGGCGCCCGAGTCTTGGCTCGGAGCTCAGGAGCCCCCTTAGTTCCATCTCCCCCCTCAGCGTCTCAGACTTGAGAAGCCCCCTGAGCCCTCTGAGGCAGATGCGTGTCGAGTTCTCCGACCTTGAAATCGGTTCTCCCATCGACCCTGTTGACCTGCAGCCTCCTGAGCAGACTTTGAGGAGCCCTGTGAGCGCAACCAAGAGTCCCTTCAGTGCTTTCCATAGCCCCTTGAGGAACGCCAGCATCGATGCTGTTATCGATGATGTCGTTGAAGGAGGTGAGTTGTATCCACGATTGTTGCTTCGAGTGACATCCAACTAACACCCTGGACTTAGATGCACCTACCATCACAGAAACACTTCCCACTCCTCCTCTTGAGCAGTCTTCTGAGCAAGTCGCTCACAAGATCCTGGATGTTCTCCAAGCATTTGGAAGACACATCATCCCCGAGGGCCAGGAGAACCATGAGTGGCTTGGACGCAAGATGTTCCACGGTCGTGTTGAGGAGTACGTCAAGAAGGGAGAGTCAGTCAAGATGATCATCCCCGCCTTCCCATGGAAGAGCATCAATCGCACCGACAAGGTGACGGGTGTTCTCCCTGATCTTGGAGAGGACCTAGCCCTTGCAAGACTCAACGACCTTTGCGTCGAGATTGGCAAGGTCTACAACCACGGTGCCGAGGTTCACATTGCTACCGACGGTTTGGTCTTCAATGGTTAGCTCCTTCCCTTCCTAGACAGCCATAGTTGCGTCTAATCACTGACCCCCCCCCCCCCCCAATTAGATGTTGTCGGCATCTCAGACGACGAGACCTGGGAGTACGGCGCCACTCTGATGGACATGGCTGCCCAAAAGGGCTACGACGGCATCAAGCTCCTCCGCGTCATGGACTTCCTCGGCCTCACCAACGAGAACGAACCCCTCACCAAGGAGAAGTATATGGAACTCGTCGACGAGAGCCGCAAGACCCTCGAGGCCCAGTTCGGCGACCCGGACAAGGACGTCCGCGCCCTCATGGAGACGGACAACGACACGCTCATGACGTACCGCGGCTTCATCCGCTTCCTCGAGACGGACCTCCGCAACAGCCCCGTCGCGGCCCACGCCACCTCGGGCCACAAGTACCGCAAGGTTGTCAAGGAGGTCGCCATGAAGATGATGATGCGCGCCGAGTCCTTCACCAAGATCATCCTCGCCACCTGCCCCGACCACGTCCGCCTCTCCATCCACCCCTCCAGCGGCGCCGTCAAGCTCTCCATGCCGCTGCTGGTCGAGAAGCACAACCCCGACGGCTTCCCCCGTACCCCCTGGCACAGCTCCATCGCCGTCTCCCTGGACGGCGGGTACCGTTCCCTGCACGCCAAGGATGTCCGCGACACGCACGACTTGGTCATGAGAGACGGCCGTCCTTGGTGCTTCCGTGAAAAGTCCGAGCTCTTTGATCTCGGCGAGGATGTCGAGATTGAACACCTTTACCCCACTGGTATCGAGGTGCGCCCACGCGAGGAGACGAATGGCGAGGTCAAGCTCAACGAGGCGGCCCGGGAGAAGTTGGTCAAACTTGCTCAGCTTCAGCCTGTAACCGTTGTCGGCTTTGAGAATGCGCCTGAGTTTGTCGTCGCGGGCCAAGAGTAGAAGTGATTCCCGGTCTTAGTCCAGCATCTAGAGGAGGGGTAACGGTTTGCATTGCTGGAGCATCATCAGAGGTAGTGTAGCATCAGGCGGTCATCCACGCCAGCATCATCATGGAAAAGAGGTGGCAGAGGAATATGATTATCCAGAGGAGGGGGTAGCTTGGTAGGCGCCGCTCGCTGCCGGGTCACACGGAGTCGGGCGTTTTGTAGTTGCTTTCTTATTTGACAGCGCCACCAAGGCATTCGAATAAGTAATACATTGAATAACCTCTTCAAGCTCGAGGCAAACTTACAATGGATGATTCCAAAAATCGGTTGCTGAGATAATGATGGGTTTCGATGGTCCAGTCCTCGGAGTAGTTCTGTCAAGAGTCGTCCGGTTCTTCAGTCCCTTCAACAATCAGCTCATTCGATATCTCGGGGTTTGCAAGGTCGATCTACTCGACTCATACTACGCGGAGCGCAGATATCAAGGGCCCAGATGATTCCGCACTGAGCAGCCAATCTTCTATTTGTTAACTTGGTATTCTACGCCTGGTCCTTAATCTCCCTTTTTATCTTTGTAATTGTTCCCGGTCCGCCGTATGTCAAGCCCGTGTACACCATAGCCACGCTGGCGCCTGCATTGAGGATCTTGAGCGCCTGCTCTCCGTTTGTGATGCCGCCCGTCGCGAAGATGACCTTTCTCGGGGTATCCTTGCCCTCGATCAGATCGTGAAGCTTGCCGGAGAGGGAGCCGTCAACATCAGGAATGGCAGCCGCCTCCTCGGCCGAGCCTGTCTGGAGGGTCTGGGCATCGAGCTTCTTGCGATATCTTCCGACCAGATCCAGGGTTCTGCTGTACATGGCGGGGCCCGAGTACCCACCCGTCTCCTGCAGCGCCTTCTGCTCCTTGACAGTAAGCTTGACGCCCTGGGGAACGATGCCTGTGCGACGGTTGGTGGTGTTGCCCACAATGACGCCGTCGACACCGCTGCTGCAGACGGCCTGAACAATACCCTCGATCTGGGCGTCCTCCTCCTCGTCAGGGGAGACCTTGACCATGACCTTGGGGGCAACCTTGCGGTCCACCTTGCGAGCCTCCTGAACCACGGCGCTCAACAGCCTTGTCAGAGGCTCGGTGGCCTGCAAGTCGCGAAGACCAGGGGTGTTGGGGCTGCTGACGTTGACCACTAGGATATCGGCATACCTAGCAAGACGTTGCACGCAGTAAACGTAGTCCTGAGCAACGGCATTGACATCCTTCTGGTCCGTCTCTTTGTTCTTGGCAATCTGCACTGCCAACAATCTGCCAGGGAGCAAACTGCCAGCAGGGACACCAGCCTCGCCGTCCAGAACCTCCTGCTCCGTCGCGCCAACCTTGCGGGCGAACTTGCGCACGCGCTCCCTCAGTGTGATAGCCATGCTGTCGGCACCCCGCGAGTTCAGACCGTATCGGTTGATCATGCCGTCGAGACTGGGAACGCGGAAGACACGCGGGCGGGGGTTGCCGTCCTGCGGGCGGGGCGTGCAGCCACCGACCTCAACGATGCCGGCACCGAGGGCGAAGAGGGCGTCAGGGATGTCGGCGTGCTTGTCGAGGCCGGCGCTGATGCCGATGGGGTTGGACAGCTTCATGCCGTAGACTTCAGTCGCCAAAGCAGGGTGTTCAGCGAGGGTTCTATCGCGTTCGCGGATGTGCAGACCGAGATCGTAGAGAGTCTTCATCATGCCAGTGCCGGCGTGGTGCGCGTCCTCGGCGTCGCTCCAAGCAAAGCGCATTAACATGGGCGACAATGCGTGGATGGAGGCCCTCGTATCGGTAACATAGAGGTAAGAGACGTAGAGGGACCCGGCGAGGGCAACGCTGTACAGGCCAGTCTTCAGACCCGAGCCGGCCTGGGATTCCGTCGAGGAGCCAGTACCGGTAGAAGCATGACGTCGTGGGATGTTGCTAGGGAGTCTTGAACGGACGGTGGTAGAATTTCTGGCGGATCGGAGGGCGGATTGCACGCGGCAGGATCGCATGCAGATGGACGCCATTGTAGAGGAGAGTTGCCGGTCCTGGCCAGCACTCAATGGCTCAGCGTTGGGGAGGATTCGAGGGTTGTGATCTGAACGAGGTCAAGGGCCCGAAGGCGGAATGGGCGCGAAGTTTGGGTTGCACAGTTGGCGTCGCTCTGGCACGGAGGGACAGTGTCAGTACAGTGTCGACAGACACGGTACAAAGTCTAAGGTATTTTTTTTTCTAAGAATAAAATCGTATCAGATCATGACGTTCTCCATGTCTCTATGGTCCGTCTCCGTCTAGCCCAACGCCTTTCCGATGCACTACAAAAGAAAATAATGTTGCCAAAGAATGTCTAGGATATCTATGCTTTCCGCCTCTCTCTCTTTTACGTCGTCAAAGTTCAAGCCTCCATCTTTACCGAACTCTCATGAGAAGCGATGGCCGGCACCGCATGCGATCTCTCTTGGATTTCCTCTGCCTCCTCGACGACTTCGGCCTGTCTGTTTAGGAAACTCAGATAGGTCTGCCACCCGACTGCAATAACGCCCGAGAAGACGCTGCGATATTCCATCGGGATGAAAGAGAAGCTGAAGGCCGTCACGGCAGGCCACAGCTTGCACGAGTTGACGATGCTCACGGGCACACATTGTCGGATACGGTCGATGATTTGGTCGAAGTTGTCGCCAGCCAGGAACGCCTGCATGCCGAAGAAGTACGAGTTGAATATGGGCGTGAAGCACACCTGATTCACCACGACCTTTGTAGCCAGCGAGAGGAGCCGCGAGGCGTAGTTGAAGTTCTGGGAGAGGAAGATGAACCTGTCACACAAAACAATGCGTCAGTCGGTATTCTTACAGACGAAAATCACACGAGAGCTGCGAGCACGAGCATAAGCACGAGAACGAGAACGACCGAACCTACCACTTATAACTGGGAATAGAGGAAATGGCGCCAATGATCAAGGAGCGCATCGTTCGCTCCGGATTGTAGTCGTTGCCGCTCATGTTCTGGGCCGAGAGGTCGGCGCAAAAATAGATGACCAAGGAGCTGATGAACTGCGTCGTCAGAGGCCTTTTGCGCTGGGCTCGGGCATAGCCATCTCCGGCGCGGGTCAAGGGCCCGAGACGCTGCCATAACGGAATGGTCGTGATGGTGTTTGGCACGGGAATAGGATCTTCTGCTCTCTTCGGCTTGGGTGCTTCGGAGCTGGAGTTGGCGCGGCGCTGTTGGTGCTGTGCCAAGCGATTTCGCAGTCCTTGGGCTCCGGGTGTTTGGCGGCGCAAGAACACTCGGAACAGTGTTGTGGTCGTTGCCATGCTCGTTTCGGTCTGATTGTGAAGTACGGTAAGTGTTATTGAGAGATCATAGTCGGAGTTGTTGAGGGAGGGATTTGCAAAGCGCCTCTTCGTCCAAGGTAATTTACTCTTGGTACTCTGTCCTGCGCAAGGAAGGGTATGCCGAGAAGTTTGGCCGAGATGATGCCCCAAAGGCGTAGGGCGGCATGGACACACGCACACACGGTCACACACCCACCCAACACACCCAGTCAGTACGGATACTTAGTGGTCACCCACATCCACCCACCCTGGACTGCCCGCTGTGCCCACTGCCCGCCTGGACCCCTGGACAGCAAACCGGGAAAGTGCGGCAGTGGCATTGCCGACGCCGATGGCGGCCCTTCCGTCGGGGTCCGGGCCCTTTAGTAGTGGGGCCTTTTGATGTTTCTCTTCTTGTTTCTGTTTGGTCCGTTGTTGCGTGCTTTTCCCCTGTGCTTTGTACCCGGCACCTTACCCAAGATGGACTCAGGCACGTGCATCTGCCAGGGGTGACAGGTCTCCAGGTACCTTAGCTCAGCACCATCTCCAAACCACCCGCTGTCATCTGTGTGTCTCTTTCCGCCAGCTGGCGGCCGTCTTCAGGTGCCTCTGCCCAACATGTCACTTGAGAGCTGGCGGGGCACCTGTGCGTCCACCTGCGCACCGCACTTGACTTACACACCTCGAATCACCAAGCCATATGCTCCCACCTTGTGACATCTTGCCTTCTTCCACTTGAGAAAGAAGTTTCTATCAAATCATTCTGCTGCTCTTCATCCGTCACCAAATAACCCAACAAGGCATCCACCGAACTCATCATGACAGCACCCTAGACTGCGCCCAAGTTATACATACAAGGCTGCCGGGCTGTGGTACATCACTTGCCTCTCTCACCTTTGAATGCCCTGCCTGATTATCTGACTATTCCATACACCATACACACTAGCAAGACATCAGTACACCGAGATCGAAGGGGCAAAGAAGAAACCACAGACATCACCATCAACATGTGGCTTCTCAATACAACCACCTACGAACTGCGCATGTTCATCGTCGGCAGTACTGTGCCCTCCTACGCCATCCTCTCCCATACCTGGGGATCCGATGAGGTGACCTTCCAAGACATCCAGAACCTAAACCTGGCATCCAAGAAAGCCGGCTTCGCCAAAATCCAAGGATGTTGCACCCAAGCACTGCGTCACAACATTGGATGGGCTTGGATCGATTCCTGCTGCATAGACAAGACCTCCTCCGCAGAGCTGTCCGAAGCCATCAACTCCATGTACACTTACTACCTCCTCGCCCGCGTCTGCTTCGTCTACCTCGCCGACGTACCGCCCCTGTCCTCCTCCCCTCCCATGGGCCGGCTCCCATCACTCGCTTCCTCCAATTGGTTCACTCGCGGCTGGACACTCCAGGAACTCATCGCACCCCGGAGAACAATCTTCTACACCTCGGACTGGTCCCGCCTCGGAACCAAAGGCGTCCACACCGATGAGCGCCCCTTTATCCAGGCCCTCTCCTCCATCACAGGAATCTTTGAATCTGTGCTCGCCAAAACCCGCCACCCGCGCGACTACTCCGTCGCAGAACGCATGTCCTGGGCAGCAAATCGCCAGACCACCCGCGCAGAAGACCTAGCCTACTGCCTCATGGGCCTCTTCGGCGTCAACATCCCCGTGTTATACGGCGAAGGGCTCAAGCACGCTTTCCAGCGTCTTCAACACGAGATCATACGGACATCTCCCGACGAGACAATCTTCGCGTGGAGGGCGGATCCGCAGCAGCAGCTTGTGGACCCGTACACGGGCGAGCGCCGATCCAGAACCGTGACGTCGGGCTTGCTCGCCGACTCGCCCGCCGACTTTGCCCACTCGCACGACGTCCACCAGCGCGCACTGCTCCCTCCGTCCCCGTTTCGGGAGTTCACTATGACCAACATGGGTCTATCCATCGCTGCCAACCTCGTGCGCTTGTCGCCTGCTGCCGGTGGCGGGCCTCGTGGAAGTCCTGCACCGCCGTCCGTCTTTGTGGTGCCCATCGGTGCGAGCGGCCGATCAAACGACACCTCGCCACGCACCCGGGTTGGATTATATCTGGAGCCGGTGCTCGTGGCGGCGAGTCGTGCAGGACACAAGACTTCGTACTTTCGCCGTGTCATGTGCGATAAGTTTTGTTTTGCATCGATTGGCGAATTTCCGCAGGGCGAGCTTGCCAATATTTACATCCTCGAAGACGATCAGTTCGCCGAGATGCAATTCGCAGATCGACCTCCCACCCCAAGACCGGGCTCGGCGTCAGGCTCTGGCTCGGACGGGGGAGGAGGAGGAAATTGGTCGCCGTCGATTGGAGCCAGGTTATCGCTCTCTACCAGTCCGTCTCCGAGGCCCTCGCCTAGAGCTTCGCCACTCCCACGCATGGATTTGAGGTTAGACTCGTAGTTTGAATGGCAAGTGGGTGACATAATCGTTGCCGGCTCTATGTGCTCCAGCCCTTTTCCTACTATCCTCGCTCATATTCATTTTCTAGAGAATATTGTCTAATGAATATATAGTAGAGTACAGTAATAATAGATATGAAGGTAAGAATACTAATTGAAGGACTGGGAAGGCTAGGAATAAGAACTAGATAAGTGAGTATGACTAGGGTTTGTTAACCGGCATCCTATTTCATCTTCCACTCAAATGGCTGGAGGGAGGTACGAGTCGAATGAGAGTGGCAGATGGTGGGTATAGCATTGAGTTGCTTTTGTAGAGATACCCGGCTCTTTAAATACAGGAGGGCCAAAATGCTTCGAGAGAATGAAAAAGGACACTAAGTCACATTATACTGGTCAGAGCAAATACGTCCGTTTCAAGGTTTCTCATTCAACTGGTACACCTTGAGTGTACCACTACTCCAGCACATGAGTTACTTGGGTATCTCATCCAGGAAAACCCTCCTGTTGTTATGCCTTTACTACATACATGATTCTGGCCCCTTCAGCAAAATGGCAGCTCATCGCCGCGAATGCTCGCTCTTTTCCGAGTTTTCCCTGTCCTCCTCTGAATCCCCCTCTTTTCGTGCTGTTTTCCCCATTCCCAAATCTAGGTCCCCCCCCCCCCCCGTTTCCTCGGGGAGGATCGCAGAGCATTCATCAAAAGAGTGCGCTGGCGTGCTGTCACTGCCGGTCTAAGGGGTTGTTGTTGGGTGCGCAACTGTGACCCTTCCACAGGGTCGCATTGAAAAAGAAAAAGCAAAAAAATCTCAAATCATCTCGCTTCCTCTTTCCCCTCCTCCCACATATTCCTTCGGAAAAGGATTGTGGGGGACGGGGGAAGGGGGAAAGGAGACGTGGTATCAAACGTTGTATCCCCAAGAACATGAAACGAAGAGACAAGTGCCACCGCGCAAAAAAAAAAACGCGTACGTAGAGGACGCGTCGTCGTTTGTCGTCGGCGAGAAGAAGAAAGGTGCGGGTCGTTAAGGTCGTATCGTACATCAGATGAATCGAAGAGGAGCCTACAACTCTCTAGGCAAGCTCCGCGTCGGTTGGTATTGGGTGTTGTCGTGGGCGGGGAAGAGATGAGTCGCATATCTTTTTTTGGGAGCGGGAGCGAAGATGGAGATGAATGAAGTCGATGAAGCCAGCCAGCTTTGAGAGCATATCGTGATTTTTGTCGTTTTCCAAGTGTTTTTGTGGTTTTTGTCGTCAGTGGCAAGGAAATGGTGTGTAATGAGTGAATTTGGTCGGTGATAGACAGAGTTGTAAGGAAATTGGTAACGAGTGTCGGGTGTCGATATATGTCTCGACGTAGAGAGATCATAAGGAAATATTGAGTGATTGTACGTCTCATAGGCTTGGCTGGCGGTTCATCTTCCCTCTGTTCATCAGTTAAACATCTTCAGTAATCCCCCGGATTAATCTCATCAGAATACTGCGTCAGTGCTCCTCCTGTGGTCAACGCTCGAGCGGGGAGAGACCTCGAGCATCTTGGTGCTCCCGGCGCTCACATGCCTGGCGTTGCCCCTGCTGAGGCTCACGCTCGTGGCGCGTTGAAGCTGGGGCGTCTCGCCCTCTTCTGAGCCCTCGGGCGACGACGTGCTGTCCTCTCCATATGACTTCAGCATACCCTCGCGGCTCTTGACTCTCTGATGCTGCACGACGGTGGCGCGCTGCCTGTCGACCGACCCCCACTTCATATCCGCGTCTTCCATCACCTCGTCCTCGTCGCTGCTGGGGAATGCGTCGCCGGTCGACTTGCGCGGGGTGCGTTCTTCGTCGGCGAGCATTTCGCGGGACGGCGTGGCGAGGTTGGACAGGTACTCGTCGTCCGCGAGTTCTTCCTCCGTATCGTTGGGCGATGCGGAGTGGCTAATGTTCTGCGGCGGGAGACGTTGCATGCTGCCGCGCATGCCCGACGAGCGGCGGGCGCCAACGCGGCCGGAGAGCCACGATCCTTCCGAGTCGATGGACGCAAGGGAAACAGGCTCCGGGGAGGGTTGAATGCTGTGTCGTAGCGATGTGGGTGTTTGCCTCATCTTCTCCATCTTCTCATCGACGCGTCGCAAGTCTGATGTCGGTGTGTCGTGTCTCACGGCGGGCGTATCCTGCTGCGAAATCTCTCCCGACTTGGACTCTGAGACAACGGGCAGAGGCATTTCCACTTCCGGGGATCCTACGCGCGAGTCGGGCGGGCTGAGGGGTAGCTCGGGTAAATCCTCCCTGAAGCGCGACCTGGTCCGCTTCGGAACGCCGTTACTGACCTTGCGAGGAATGTAATTGACAGGTGGGGGGATCGGTGGCATCGGCACTTGTACCGGTGCCGCGGCCGCCTCTTCCTGCTGTTGGGGCACATGCGTCGCCGACTGCGAGTAAATCTGGGCGGCGGCTGAAGCCTGCATTGTCTCGCGCGATGTGTTCGAGAAGGAAGATGGTCCCGAATTTCTTCTGTTTCTCTTGCCCAGGCGGAAAAGCGCCGAGAAAGAGATGCGAGCGCGACTATCCTTGCGAGGGGTCTCGCCCTCGTCCTGTCTCGAGGAATATTGTGAGATTGCGTGCTGGTCAGACTCTGTGGCATTGGGCGATCTTGATCTTGAAATCCTCCGCAGAAAGCTCCTCTTCAATCTCATGCTGGCCTTGGGCGTAAGCTTCGTGCTCGTCTTGCGCTCGGGGACGGGCTGCGCGGGCAGCGTCGGCGAAGGCGGTGCCTCTGGCGGGATGCTAGTCGTCCGGTGAAAGTGTTGGATGGCCGCTGGTTCCGGCTCAATGTCCATCGTCTCGGCTTGCGGTTCCTGCTCCGGTTCCTGCTCCTGCTCCTGCTCCTGCTCCTGCTCCTGCTCCTGGCCCGGCTCCGAGTCCTTGGTCGTTGAAATCTTCCTCGAATGCCGTGATGAACTCCATGACCGTCTCCTGGAAGAAGTAACCACTGCAGACGCTGCGTCGATCCCCAATCCAAGTTCGCGGCCGAGAACACCACGTTCCAAGTTGACTGGCGGCGGTGACCCGCTGTGACGAGCTTCTGCCACAGCCTCGCGCTGCTTTTCTGATCTCCGTGCCAGTCTCCTCTCTATCCGTTCTTGGTCCCTTTGGCGTTTCCTTTCTCTCCTCCTGGTATCTCTCTCCATCAGTTCCCTCAGGTCAGCGGCGTCCAGATCATCCGCAAAGCTATCGACCCTCTTGTGTGCCCTCACTACTGACTCGGGCACCCTCTCTGAAACTTTCCTCTTTTGTTGTTGGGTGCGCGATGGCGCCGAACCATGTCCGGGACCCCATCGTGGATATACTGCGTATCGTAATGTTGGTCGGGGCGATAGTGCCTCGAGGGCAGAGACTCGGAATGAGTGCAGTTCCGTGTCGGATGACATGCTGGAGTGAATCGATATCGGTAGCGAAACGTCCGACTGCGGGTTTTCGAAGCTCCTACGGAAGCCGAGGCCGGTCTTGAGTCTTTTGCTCTGTTTCCTAATGGGCCGCCCTGACGTCCAAGGGTCGGCCGCCGGTCGTACCGGGGCGAAGTTTGCCATGGCCTTGATTTCCGCCTCACGATCCGTCTCTTCTCTCCTCCTCTTGCTGGTCTTGTGTCGAGAAGACCTCGACGGTTGGCCGTGGCGTGCATTATGTAGGGTTGGCGCCCGCTGCCACGCGGGATCCCCTTTTTCTTCTCCGTCATTTCGGTCGGCTGGGAAGAGCCCTGTCGACCGGCCAGGTCCTAGTGGAACCGAGCCTTTTTGCCCCGCGACACGGATGGAGTCATTGCGACCGGGGGAGAAGCTGTAGGTGCGTTCTCTTCTGGGCGCCGGTTGCTGCTTTTCGAGGCGCTGTTTCTTCGGCATGGCCGCCCTCGGCGCAGTGGCTTCGCCCGCCGTGAGACCTCGTGCTTGTAAGGATGATGTTGGTGGTGCCTCGACATCTGAGAGGTTTGCGCCACTTCTCGAGCGTTTGCGACCGCTCCTCCGGCGGAAGGGCCAAAGGGCCATTTTCCCATCAGCCGACGCGGGAAACGCGTCGTCGTGGCCAGCGGGCAGAGTTTGTGGTGTTGAGTTATCGAAGAATACTGGGGTGTTTGTCAAAGGACCAATGTCTGAATGGTTGCATGATCGTTGGCGTATTATTCAATATCGATGAATAGCATGTGTATCCGTCCGTAAGGCAAGGTAGTGTGTGTGTGTGATCAGTGAGTGTGAACGGGCGGCCTCGTTTAGATCTCAATGCTTCCTGCTGACCAGAATCGCCACCAGTTTCGCAATGGACGAGTAAAACGAGAGGTGTGCTGGGGTTGTCCCGAGCCAAAGGAAATGCGGAAGCTTGTCTGCTTAAAGAAGGATCCGGGATTGTGCAGCAAATATGGGATTGGGCCTTTGGAGGAGAGGGTATTGGCCGGGCTTGTTTAAAGCGAGTGGAGGGGGGGAGAGACAAGAGACTAAGAGTGTGGTGCCCGTAGGTACGGGAGTGACGGAGCAATATGGTTAGCAAAAGCAAGGTATCCGTATGCATACAGTACCTCTCCTTTTTAGTTCGAGGGTAAAAAAAGAGGGACAAATAGTCATATGCAACCAATGTATTCGTTAAGTGGCGATGGCTGGGCTGGATATGATGAAATGACGAATGGGGAAACCCTCACAGATCAAGCAGGCTTCTTGGTGAAGAGACCAGACACGAGACGGGGCACGCCCGAGCAAGACTGGGCTTGGCCAGTTTGGAGAGGGCAGCAGGGCAGCAGGGCAGCAGACCTTTTCCCTTTCCTTTCCACTCTTCCTTGGACTCTACTGCTGCTGCTGCTACTGGCCCTGCTCTCTTTTTCCTCTGCTTCTGCTGCTTCTGATGGGGACACCGGCAAGGACTGGGGAGAGCTTGTTGCTTGGCTGGGCTGGCTGGCTGGCTGACGCCGGTGCTGGTAGCTTTCTGCCGGCGCCGTT